TTGATACAAAAATGAATATTTCTCATCAAGCTTTATCAAAAGATTAGGTTGACATGCTCAAGGACTCCATGAGTTTTGAATAGCACTCGTTTTCAACATCTTCTTAACGTTTGCAAGAAAAATCTTGATCTCTTTTGGTGACAAAAGACGAATAAAAATTTTAATTGGATGAGTATCCCCAATTGGAATAATATGACATTTTGCAATCTTAGCCCTAGACAACAAGTCAAATTCAAAGAGATTGACACACTCCTTCATGAGCCAGTCAATTATTGCAACATAAAAACCATCTGAAGGATAAAAAAAGGGAATAGAGGAACAACATGGAAATATAAGAGGAAGTAATAAAGTGACAAAAGTGATAAAAACAGAGTGACAGAAAGGAACAAAAGTAAGAGGAATGGAAAAAATATAAGAAATTATGAGATAAGGGGGAGAAACCTCAAACTTATACTTGTTTACCATCCACAATTAGATAGTTTTGTGGAATGATTTATTCGGACTTTGAAAGGGATGATTACGAAGTATATAAACTTTTTGCATTCGAATTAGAATGTTATTTGCCATCTTTTCAGTATGCATATATCATAAGGGTGTAGAGTTCTATTGGTGCTTCACCATATAAACTTCTTTATGGTCATAATCCAATACTACCAATAGAGTTGGCTTTGTGATTGCCACAAGCTACTAATATTAGGTCAAAAATCAATATTTGACAAATATTTTTCCACTTGTCCTAGCAAATTTTGTTGAACATCTTAGCCACGTACAATTAAGATAATAATGACGCTACAACTCCCATCATCGTCCACCTATAATATACAAAGTGGATGACTTCATGTGAATCCATTTTCCCAATTTTACAGTATGTAGTTTGTCTAAAAGGCTCTTTGCTTAGTGAAAAGGATTGTATTGGGTGTTGCAACAAGTTGAACCACAAATTTATGAAAGTCAACATAACATCTAATAAGCTGATCCTCCAGAAATTATGCACATATAACAATTGAAACACTTTGTACAAAAGGATCAAGAACAACTAACATCACACCGATGCCTCCTCTTAATGTTTCTTTAGATTTTGGCTCATTAACGAGAGAATGTTGACAGTCTTCCATCATTCCAAGAGGAGGGGATGATATGAGATCCAAGTGTACAGCTACAATGCTATATATTAATATTAGCATAATGGGATTTTAATAATTGTCGAGTTGGTTTCAATTTGGACCATATAATCTAGGGTTTTTGGGCTAATTGATATACACATTTCTGTATTCCATTTCCATATTCCATGCACTTATAATACATTTTGAAATTTTAAGTTTATTTTTGAATAAAATTCTTTTGTGAATTTTTCTATATGTATAAAAATATTATTTATATATATATATATATATATATATATATATATATATATATATATATATATATATATATATATATATATATATATATATATATTTCTTTATATTATTTAAGAAATTATATTTGATGATTTTTTAGAAAACTTGATTGACTTAGTGATATAAATAATAGTTTTGCTAAAATATTCAGAAAAATATATTTAAAGTTATAAATTCTATCACAAAATTATTTTTAGATTTTTCTCATAAAAGATAAAGTGTACAATTTTAAATTTTAATGTATAATAATTTTTTAAACTGAATCTGTAAATGTACATAAATCTATAGTTTTGGTAATATGCATTTTTTTATAAACTTCTGAGAATTATATTTGTTATCTATTTTGTAATAATTTTACCATAGCTAGTAGTAGTGAATATACACTTTAATAAATATAGAGATAGTAAATATGTGATAGCCAACTAAACAATAAGAATTTAATATTATTTATAAATAAATAAAACTTATATTTGGACCACTATTGTACATTTAATACCATTATTTTTATCTTATATAAAATATATATAATTTGTTTTAACTTTATTTAAAGGATAATAAGCTATACACACTATATTATATAAATTATTTATATTTTTTGAATATTACTTTTTTAATTCAAAACTCTTAAAACCATTAATATTTTATTTTAAGTCATAATATGTGTTTGCTTATTTTTTGGATAAATAGTAAACTTTTATAAAAATAATTAAATATTTTTTATATGATTTCAAATTTAAAGAAAAAATTAACGAATTTTAGTATTTTTTTCAAGTGAGGAGAAGAACATTCTGAAATTATTTTATTTTTTAATATTAAACTATACACTTAGTTTTACACAAAACTCATTCATATATTTAGAAGTAATTTTAAAAATACATTTTTTAATAAATATTTTCTTTATTAATTTATTACATATTTAGTGATAAGAAATTACGTTAGACCACTAGTTCAACTCTTGAATTTACTTTCATACAAAATTAATTTAAACGAATCTTGACACCGAAAATGAATATTCGTACCTTTCTGTTTGGGTGTTGGGAATCGAACCAATAATAGAGCGTGGTAGAGTGTGGCGTGGTGCTTTTCTACGGCTGCCAGCTTGCCACCTGTCGCCATCCCCTTGTAACTAAACAACGCCGCCGGCGGGAACAGTCCGTCGCGCTCCCAACTTTAAAATGGCCGTCCCCTGTTCTTCGCTATTTTAGGGTTTATCGTGAGCTTTGCGGGAAGTTTTAGCGCACGGATTTCGTCACGAGCGCGCGCCTGAGAAGTAGCGCCTGGCATTGTGATCGCTGCATTCTTGTGGGGATCCTTCTGCTTCTTGCTCCAATCTTGCGTCGCTCCAAGAAAGGCCTCTTCTTTGTTCTCTTCTTCTTTCGAGTGCGAGCTATGGCGTCTCCAGCGGATGCCAAGCGCACAGGCAAGGTCAAGTGGTTCAATGTCACCAAGGGATTCGGCTTCATCACGCCCGACGATGGAAGCGAGGAGCTCTTCGTCCACCAATCGGCGATCTTCGCCGAGGGCTTCCGGTCGCTGCGCGAGGGTGAGATCGTGGAGTTCAGCGTAGAGCAAGGCGAGGATCAGCGCATGCGAGCGGCGGATGTCACGGGCCCTGACGGCAGCCACGTCCAGGGAGCTCCATCCAGCTTTGGATCTCGCGGAGGAGGAGGAGGAGGAGGCCGCGGCGGTGTTGGCGGCGGCGGACCTCCACGCGGCGGTCCTCGTGGCGGAGGCCGCGCTGCTGGCTATGGTGGTGGCGGCGGCTATGGCGGCGGAGGCGGAGGAGGATACTCGAGAGGTCGTGGCCGCGCTGGTGGAGGAGATAATCCCATCGTCTGCTACAATTGCAATGAAGCTGGGCACGTCTCGCGGGATTGCAAGTACCAGCAGGAAGGGGGCGGGGGCGGCGGCGGCGGCGGCGGCGGCAGGGGTCCTCCATCTGGGCGCCGCGGCGGCGGCGCTGGCGGCGGCAGCGGTGGAGGAGGTCGCGGATGCTTCACCTGTGGCGCACAGGGACACATCTCACGGGACTGCCCCAGCAATTACTGAACGAACGCCTCCATTCTCGTGGTTTGTTCTCTCCTTTTCATCTCTCTCATCGTTTTGTGCCCTTCTCAGCTAGATCTCTCTCCCGGGAGAGAAGACGCAAGCTTTCCCTTCTGGGATTGATCGATCGATTTCTCCCTCTTTCCTCTCCTTTCTCTTTCGACACGATCCAGCATCCAGCAAGCCGAAGAAGAAGGCTCCGTCCTATCGATCGTCCGTGAGCTTGGAAAAAAGAATTTCTCAAAAACATTATCTCAATGGAATCGACAATCCTCCTCTCCTCCCCAGTCCATCCCCATTTTTGTGATGAACAACGAAGACCCAAAAAATGGTCCAACGACCCAAAAGATTGGATTGGATTGGACGGACTCTCGTTTTCTATAATATCTGTGTTGCTTGTGGCTCTGGAGTTTCCTTGGCTGCGAATTCTCTCGCGAAATGGACGGCTGGATGCGACCATTGACCCTAATCCAATCGCTCCTTTATAAATGTTACAAGGTATAGGTGGACCAATGACCAGGCGAAAAGAAGTTTGCCACCGCGAAAAACAAACAAACGCTTCCCTCATCCCCAGGAGCCCTAGAATCGAAATCCAGTGGCACCGATCTCTCCAAGTTGGCGGACGAATCTCGCGAAAACCCCCAAAAACACTTGAAATTTTGGAACTAATGTGGCGCCAAACTAACAAGCCACCACACACACTTGGGCTGACTTTGGCGGAGGGTACAAAATTACTTGCCACCCGTCCTAGACCGGTTAAACTAACAAAATATCTCGGGTAAAAGGTGCGCGCGCGCATTTTCGTTGTCACCTCACCACCTAACAAAGGGAGGATAATATTCGTTTGACCCCTAAGAGAAAAATGCTGCGAGGTTTCGTGTTTGAAATGAATTGCTAGATGCCGATGGAATCAATCAAACTCCACTGTAACTTACACACGTGAAAATCTCGTGTGCGAGAGATTTTTTTATAGTAAGTTAAGTTAAGCTGCGCGGTAATAACTCTAAGGATCCGGATTTGTTAGCGCAAATCTTACCGTTTTTCCAAGAAAAACTACGGGGGAATATTCACAGCAGCATCGTATAAATGCGGTGTTAGGGTTTATGCTCCAAACGCTGATGCTTATCGAGTCGAGGCAAGAAAGAGGGAGAGATTGCTGCTGCTCCCCCGCAAGAATCCCCAATCTTGAGCGAATTCTAGCGCGGCACCAGGGTTTTGAGGGGGATTGAAGATGAGAAGCGGCTGTGTGGCAGGCCGCGCTCCAGGGTTTCGTCTTGCAGGGCCTTGGCGATCGTCCTCACCAGAGAGAGGAGAGGAATCCATGGAGGTAATCTCCATTCTTAGTCCTAGCCGACCGGATTATCCATAGCGCCATAGCTTTGGAGGGATTTAGGAATGTGCAAGGACGACATGGATGATGACGGCACAGGTTCACGGAAGAAGCCGGAGCTTGGAGCATTTCTGAGGAAGAAATCTAGCAAGGCGGAGAGTGGTGCCAGAAATCGGAGCCCTCGCTCAGGGGATTCATCAGATGAGGATTGGCTGCGCCATCCACTGCTGCCACCGCAGCTCAAGAGAAGCTTTGGGGGCAGCTATCTCTGCGACAATTTGAAGGATTTTAGCTGGAGGAGGCAAAAATGGCAGGTTCTTAGCGTCTGTGGATCCCTGGCAGTGCTGTTCTTCCTGGCTCTTGTGCTGGAGACTCTCAAGGACAGTGCCAACTTCTCGATGGCACGGGCCCTTTCGTGGCTCCTTTGCGTTCTTCTCTCGCTGCTGCTGCTCTACTTTCTCTGCTGCGATTACGATGGAAGCAGGATTGTGTGTCAGGCACTCTTTCCTCTCGTCATTCTCTTGGCCTGCGCTGCGTGGTACGTGCCCAAGGTGATGTGCGCTGTGAGAGAGGATTCAGCTCGTTGCAAGCTTGTGGATCCTCTGCCTGTGTTTCTTGTGAGCAGTCTTCCTCTTTTGCTTCTGAGCGCTCCCGTCATGGCTCTGCGCGTTGCGTGCGCTTTGGCCGGTTTGATCCTTTTGGTCATTCTTTCTTTCGCTGTTTACTCCTCGAGAGATTTGGAGTTCATCTCTAGTGCTCCCTGGGTTTTGTCTCCGTTCGTCTTCCTGTCGAGCGTGCTGGTGAGCTACCATGGATGGCGGTCAGAGAAAGAACTCTTTGCTTTGGCTTGCTCTCTCAAGAAGGCTCTGTCATGTTCGCGGCTTAACACGCGCGAGGTACAGGCGGAGCTGAGAAATGTGAAAAAGGATAGCTCGGAGAGGATTGCGAAGATGAGGCAGTTCATCAGCTACATCTTTCATGAAATTCGAGGTACGCTCCCTCAGAGTTTTGCTGCTTCGACTCATTGAAAATGTGTGCATGCAGTTCCATTTAACGCTGTAGTCCTGGGAATTGGCCACCTTTTGGCAACCAACGTGTCAGAAGAGCAGCAAGAGGTTCTAAATATGATGGATTCATCGTCCTCGTCTATGATCCGGATCCTCAACGATGTTCTTGACATGGGTATGTTTTCTATTTACCTGAGCAGTGCTCACTTGTCGGTTTTTTGCAGGGAAGATAGAGTCCGGCAAATTGCAGCTTGAAAAACAGCCGTTTAATCTGGCAGAGCTTGTCAGCTCGTTGATATGGGCTTTCAAAGACACGTTAGAATCAAAGGGCCTCGAGTTTTCTCTTTGCGTGGATGACTGTACAAAGGAGTTCCTTTCCACGCACGACCTTGTTGGTGACAAGCACAGGATTAGACAGGTGAGAATTTCGTTGCCAGTTGATGCTCGCGTGGCTCACTTCACTGCACTGCTTAGGTGTTGGCCAACTATCTGTCGAATGCTACAAAGTTCACTCCCCGCGGTGGTAGAGTGAAGCTTCACGTTGTCTGGAACAGAACAAAACAGGACGGCTCTGGGGATGTACCCGCTGACTCCCCCGCTTCTCATGCCAAGCAAGAACTCTCGGAACTAAGCAAGAAACGGTGCGTTGCAAGCGTGACGGTTTCAGTAGAGGACACAGGTATCGGGATCAGCAAAGAAGATCAAGTGAGGTTATTCGAGCCGTATATACAAGTTCATACCGGATCCACGCAATCCCAAGGTGGTACGGGCCTTGGCCTGTCCTTCGCAAAGAGGTACTACGGTTTCTTTCCCTTCATTGTTTTGCGTATACTCAGTAAACTTTGCAGGATTGTGGAACTCGCAGGAGGAAAGATTGGCGTGTTCTCGGACACGGGCAGAGGCAGTGTTTTCTCCTTCACAATCCCGTTCGAAGTTGCCGGCACGGTTTCAATCGAGGGAAAGGCAGCCGAGGAAGTGCTGGTGAATCCATTCGACCTTCCGGAGGAGAGCCGCGTGGAAACCGGCGTCGTGGCGGCGAGCGGTGGTTTGTCGAGCTCCCAGCAGCCACCACGGCCGACTCCAAAGGTTTTGATCGTGGAGGACAACCAGGTGAACAGGCGGATACTGAAAAAGCTCCTCGCCAGCTTCAACATCGAGAGCGATGCCGCGGAGGACGGGCTCCAGGCGGTGGATATGTGCCGCAGCGGTGCGCAGTACGACATGATACTGATTGACAAGGAGATGCCTGTGATGGACGGGCACGAGGTACGAGCTCTCGACTGCAATGTCAACGCGATGGAATCTCACGCTGTTTGGGTGGTGTGCTGTTGCTCCAGGCTACGCGAGAGATACGCGCGATGGGTGTCAAGACAACGATCGTCGGGCTCACGGGAAATGCTCTCGACAGCGATCGCAACCAGTTTCTTGCGGCCGGGGTGAACGATTTCTTCACGAAACCGTTGTCGCGGCACCAGTTGCTGAGGCTCTTGGAGGCTCACGGACTAGTCCGCTGATTGTGACGAAACGAGACGACACGATCGACGTGAGAGCAAGGGAGACGGAGAAAAAGAGGAGATCTAGAGGTACTGTTCTTGGTCTCTCTCGTTTTTTTCTTCTTCTCCCATTCTTTGCGTGGTTGGATCCATCCTTTCAGGATTCTTGGGTGCTTTGTATTATAGACCGATTCATTGGAGAAAACAAAGTATAGGCGATTTGTAGAAAAAGTCCTTGCAAGAAAAGGAAAAGGTCCCTAAATAACTTGCCAAATATTTAGGGTTCTAAGTCAGGAGGAAAGGAGGAAAGGAGGATGTTTCTAGTGGATTGGTTCTATGGCGTCTTAGCGAGCCTAGGGCTGTGGCAGAAGGAGGGCAAGATCTTGTTCCTAGGGCTCGACAACGCCGGCAAGACGACGCTGCTACACATGCTCAAGGACGAGGTAAGCGAATTTCTTGGAATTTCCTCCTCTAGGTCATGGATCTGGGGATTGCGCCTGCGCAGAGACTCGTCCAGCACCAGCCGACGCAGTACCCGACCTCGGAGGAGCTGAGCATCGGCAAGATCAAGTTCAAAGCGTTTGATTTGGGAGGTCACCAGATCGCTCGTCGCGTCTGGAAGGACTACTACGCCAAGGTTTGTGGGAAATCTTCTGTGTTCTTGGGTGAAAACTATAGCACTAATTGTTTCTCTTTTTTTTTTTTTGGCTATACAAGGTTGATGGCATCGTCTACTTAGTGGACGACGCTGACAAGGAGAGATTTCCCGAGGCAAAGAAGGAGCTGGACGCTCTCCTCGCGGACGATTCTCTCTCCCAGGTCCCGTTCCTGGTCCTGGGAAACAAGATCGACATTCCTTACGCAGCGTCCGAGGAGGAGCTCCGCTGGTTCTTGGGTCTAAGCCACACCACTGGCAAAGGCAAGGCGGACCTCAGCAGTAACGTCCGCCCCATCGAGGTCTTCATGTGTAGCATCGTCCGGAAGATGGGTTATGGCGAAGGCTTCAGGTGGCTGTCTCAGTACATCAAGTGAGAGCTGCCTGGTTTGTAAGTCTCGATCGCTCGACTTTATACATTTGATCTCATCTTCCTCTTTATCGTTTTTGGTTCCTCGCTTTCCATTCACTGCTAACTTTGGTCATTCTCTTTCGCATTGTGTGCACTGGCTGGCTCTGTCCTAAAGTGGCTCTATTCTGGAAGATTGTTTTTTCAGGACAGGGCACGCATAGACATCGGGACAAATGGCGACCGTCTTCGATTGAAGAGGTTTGTGATTTCTTTTTATAACTTCGCTTTGTTTTCTTGAAGTTGAGAGTAGAAGAGACAGGGGTCTTGTCTTAAAGAGTTAAAAATCAAGCTCGGCTGTCAACTGGTTGGTAGCGGCTGGCTTTGTTTGAACAGACTGCGATCGCTTGAGATTTGTCAACTGGTTGGTAGCGGCTGGCTTTGTTTGAACAGACTGCGATCGCTTGAGATTTGATGACCAGCATGACGCAACGGAATGTGATTGACAATCTGGCAAGCTTGCGACCAGGTAAATTTAGTGCTCCAAGCTTTTGCTTTTCTAAAAGTTTTTCGTTGCAGCAGCTCAGTAAGAGTCACGACTGCCAGAGAGAGAGAGAGAGAGAGCAGCCCAGAAGAGCTTCGCAAATACACTACGTGGGTGAGGCATTTATGCATTGAAGTGAAGCTTCGCTTCTCTAACTCGGCTGCTTGCGTCAGATACATGATTGGAGAGAACTGTCGACATTGATTGAGCAAGGCGTGGTCTTTAGATCAACTTACAAATGTGTACAGAAGCCAAGCATTATTGTTTCAACAAGCAGCACCAGAAACTATACTAGCAAGAAGCACTCGGAGAAGAGACTTTACGAGAAGCCAGGGGCCAGAGAGGCACGAGCAGAGCAGTGACGGGCTCACGGGCACTTGTGTCCGCCTCTCGAGTTCTTCATCTCGTTGTAGCAGGCGCAGACCTCTCGGTTCCCAGCAGTTCCCGGTGGCACGCATTGGCATTTCCCGCAGCAGATGTTACAGTACTTGAGGCAGCGCTTGTGAAGGCCCGCCTTGGAGCAGCGGTAGTCGCAGGCAGCCGCGCAATCTATAAGAACAGAGGGGGTTGGATACATCAAAACTCTGGACACAATGAGAAGAAGAGGAGGAGTTCAACGTCTTCTCACTTAGATATGGAGACCTGTTCTTGGAGCCGACCAAAGCACCTTGCTTCTGCAAGACAAGTCACACAGAAAACTTTCAAGCCTCGCGACGAGAGATGGAATGGAGATGAGAGAGCATCCAACCTCGGTTTGCTCCAGTTGCTCGGTAGCACCAGCAGCAGCAATCTAGAATCAAACGAAGACACAGAGTTACAAGCTTGGTCGGGAAATCGCAAAAGTAAGAACAACGAAGGAACCACCTCGAGGCAAACGAGCGTCGCGATGAAGATAGCGAGGAGCAGCATTTGATACTTGGCCATCGCCCAAGAGCTTTCAAGGATATTGGGAAAGAGAGACGAAGAAGACGAAGAGAGACGTTCGTGTTGTGCTTCGAATTTGAGCTCCCCCCCCCCACAATATATACCTGTTTTTTGGCGCATACACACCACCACATACCATTACAGCTGTACAATACAGTCTCGGAGATGGTATCGGGTACGTACATGTATGCCAATGCAAGCTGGCCAGGATCCGCTCCTTCGCAGGACCTTCGATTAGCAAACATCGAGGGTTCGACTCCCGCCACCTCCGCGATAATCCACGCCCTAAAAGTTTGTTGATCGAATCAAACAAGGGCGTGGCGTGCTCGAAAGAAAATGTAAGTGGCTTGGGGTGTGTGCACGGCCAAGATATTCCGATTCGATCCGGTGCCAGCTTTTTTTTTTTCCCGGGCTCCTTTTAACTTTGACAAAGCGCGCGAAAGTGCTGTCCGTACGGTGCGATGATGGGTGTTCTGTTTCTTGCCAGCCTGCCGCGACGGCAAGCTCGACTCGTGTCACGGGCCATGGCCGGTGACCTAATTTCTCCGACCTAATTCTCAAACTCTGGCCTAAACGTAAGTATTGACTGAGTCGCTCCGTCTCCCAATGTGCCAAGAACTCTCTCGTTTCTCGGTACGTAACTCTTTCATGGGTCGTACAAAAGGCGCCTGGAAGAAACCTGAGCTCGAGAAATTGTTTAGAAAAGATGGGATTGTTCCAGCAGCTGGTTTTTCTGCTGTTGATCTTGTTGGCGCTGCGTTTGTGCCATGCAACGCGGGAGTTCTCAGGTCTCAGTGACGCGCAGCGGGAGCTTATGGAGCGTGACATTGTCATCAACTTGGAGAAGGCCCAGCAAAACTTGCAGAAGGCCGCGCCGGCGGTCTTCTCGGATGAGGATTGCAAGGCGCAGATGAGCAACGTGCTGGGGATTCTGGCCAGAGTCGAGACATTCCTCCTCCAGGATGATTATGCCGGGGCAATCCAGCAGCTCTCGATCGCAAAGAAAATCCTTGGAGAGTGCAACACCGCGCTGGAAGCTAGTCACGTAAGAACTTTGCTTTGTACCTTTTTTACCAAGTCCGTTCGCTGTCAGGCACATTTGAGTCAAGCGCTCTTGTATCTCACGGGACAAGCGTTGACTCATGTGGATGCTGCCACAAATCTTCTCAATTCATTGGTAGACAAAGACAAGCTCAAAGGCATCTATAATCCTCCTGTTGGAGTCAACGATGGTATTATATTGTTCTATTTGTTTGGAGCGATGAACTAATCAATTGATCTTTTTCGTAGTTGGATCCACCGAAGCTCCATGCGAAGTTGACGGAACCGTTTGCCAGTTTTCTCCCTGCGGGCAAGGTAAAAACCTTCCAGTTTGTGCTCTTGGATTTGCAGCTGGAGTTGTGGGAGGAGCAAATGGCCTGGCCTACGTTGTCACGAATCCACAAGACGATGATCCCAAAATACCGGTGCCAGGAACTCTGAGATATGGGGTCTCTCTCGGGAACTCCGATGGAAATGGCGTGTGGATAACTTTTGCCGGGAACATGACCATCTTCCTCCAGGAGATGCTCTGGATTCGAAGCATGACAACCATCGACGGGCGGGGCTTCAACGTAACAATCACCGGAAGAAACTTGGTGCTCGGTGGCGTGAGCAATGTCATCTTACACAACCTCCAGATTAGCTCGGTGGGCGAGAGTGATACGATCCACATCTACGCCGGCTCCAAGAAGATCTGGGTCGACCATGTATCCTCCTGGGACGCCAGGCTCGGCCTCGTCTCGGTGCTCCAAGGATCCACAGACGTGACAATCTCCAACTCGCTTCTCACAAATCCAAACTTTAACATGCTCCTCGGGGCATCTGATGCTGATACTGAGGACAAGATCATGAAAGTCACGGTCTACAGAAATTGGTTCAAAGATTCAACGCAAAGAATGCCACACTGCAGGTATGTTCACGACACATTTTCCTCAACTTACATACGTAATTCACTGCTAGATGGGGTTACTGTCACGTCGTCAACAATCTATACACCAACTGGGGCTACTACGCGATAGGTGGAAGAGTGAACGCCAAGATCTTAAGCGACAACAATGTATTTGTAGCTGGCCGGAGGAGCGAAGTCACGCCATGGTTCAGTCTGCATGGTCCCGAGTTCGACACCACCGCAACCATCACGTCCTCCAACGATCTCTTCCTCAATGGGTCCACCTTTCACCAGTTCATGGGTGTTGAGCCAATGTCTCTGACCGAAGTCCCTCCCGCGTATCCGACCCCGGACCACAATCCTCCGATTCACTCCACGAGCACACTGCCGCAATTCTTGGAGCAATGCGCAGGAGCAATTTTTGGCGATAGTCTCGCGAGATGTATGTTTGCTTCCTCCAAAGTTTAAAGCCTTCAGTTTCCCTGTCGATGAAGTGTTTGTGCTGTCAACTTTGGCTATGGATCTGATATATGGTTGAGAACCGAGTTATCTTCGTGCTGCTGAAGAAACTCTTCTTCTTATTTAGTGCATACACATTGACTGATTTCTCCATCATCAAGCAGTTGTGCTTTGAACTATTTCCTGTGTAATTAGAGTGGAACAGGAAAGATGCTAAACATGAGCATATCCCTCCCAAGAACTGGAAAGATTCGCAGCAAGGAGTACTCTCCCTTCTGATGCAAAAAGAGAAAAGACCCGATTTTTAGGGTTCTTAAGAAAATAACAATAATTTAATTTCTTCCTTAGAATATTCGATTGTTCCCCAGTTCGTGATTTGGTCATTTTATTATTATTACATACATTAAAACCCAACTGAGAAGTATAGGATTTTGAAATGGAAATTGGTCCAGCCGTCATTCACCCATCTATCTATGTTATAGCAAGAGACAAAGTGTCTAGATAGAAAATTCCATTAACTAATATGTTCTCCCAAAGCAGAGGTGGTTATTTATGAGCAGTCATTGCTACAGATAAACCATGAGGGATTACTTGTTTAATCACTCCTTGGGACTTTTCCGCAATAGCAAATGCATTAGTAAATTGTGGTGACTATATCTTGTCTTGTGAATCCTTATCATGACGACAGCATTAAAATGTTGGCTGCAACTCAGAAGAATGGTTTTGCTCAAGGCTCAACTCTTGTGGTAAACCTCCCAGGCCTGGGATCTTGTATTAACGAAAACACTACTAACCATATTGATTGTTATGGAGGGTTTAGGAATTAAAATACTACCGTGAAATATGTATTAGTACTGCTAGATTGTTGTGTGAATAATGTTGATGGAAAACTTGAAATATACAATTTTCTAGAGATATAAGAAAAAACATTAGCTGGAAAATCCAGAATATGATTATAGATTTATTTTTAATTTATATTATTAGTGATATTTTATTTTAAATAATAATATATAGATAATAAATTTTCTATGCATTGCATGTAACAATGCTTGGTTTGCTTAATAATAGTGTTATTCCTACTTATTAATCCAATTGATCAAATAAAAGTTTATAATTATAAGCATGTTTGTAATTTATAAATACAAGATTAATCTGATGGTAGAATAAAATAGAATATACTAGAAAATGTTTAAGAAAGTTTATAAATTATAAATATAAGATTAATCTAAATGAATAAGAACTGTTAGATGATAGAATATTCTAGAATATCCAAGCATATTCTAGATATATTCAGTATCATCTTAAGCAAACCAAAAACTGCATTTGTGAGGTCCAATTGTATGGTCTGTATACTAATATTAACAGCTGTATATTAATATTAATATAATGGAATTTTAATACCTGTCACATTGGTTTCAATCTAGACCACTCACTCATGTATATAAGTTAAAGTTTTTGGGCTGATTGATATACATATTTTTTAATTCCATTTCTATATTCTATACATTCACATTAGTGGAAATGAAGGGTAATTTTAATTGTCCTTGAGGGGTGTTTGGATTTAGGATTTTGGTGCTTTTCATTATCTATATTTCACTTTCTTTATAAGTTTTTTATTTTCTTCTCTTTTATTTTTTCCTTTCTGTTCATCTTCATAGCAAAGCAATAGCTTCTTCCTTATTTGACTATGAAGTATTAGTTAGGGCAATTGTTCAATGTTATGTGGTTGCAGTTAAACAATTAAACTCAGTTGATGGTAATATTCATGGCATGTGATACATCTCCTCTTACTCTTGTTATCAATCCTCACGTCTGGCCAAAGTTATTTTATGAGAATCTTAAGCATTGGTTTAATCACTTACCAAATATCATTATTGGGATGATGCTTGATGTTTACATAAGTTTTCTATTATCTCCAAGGGACAATGAGAGTGTAACCATTTGTGTGAATTGAAGCATTCTCCTAGACTCTTCAAATATGCATATTTGGATATACAAATGATTGTGATGATGCCTTACAATAATTGTATTGTATTTGTTAAGGGCTAGTTGAGTTAATAATGCAATTTGGTGTTTGTTTCTAGAGCTTCTTACTTTATGTGGAGCTAAATATGTTGAAGTGGATCAAGTTGAAATGTTGTGATTAGCACTTTGTCAAAATATTGTAAAACTTGTATATATAGTTGCTCTAGCCACCCTTAATAATGCTCTCTGCTTAGCACAACATTATAACACATCTTATGAAGTTGGTCACATTTATTAGCATTATTGGTGTTTTCTAGATTAAAGTCTTTCATTTTTTAAGTGGAGATCTTGGCATCAACAAAGTCCTGTTGATGCTATGGTAGTGGAAGGTCTTAATACTAAGATGTTTTCAAGAAACAAAGAATTGTGCAAGTAGTGGAGGGTTTTTGCATAAATAACTTGGTGACCCTTTTATCTTTCTTTTAGGAGTATCATTAAAATGTTCACTTAACACCAATTCATCCAATATTTACTTTACAATTTCATTTTTATAATAAAAGGTTTCATATTATTTTCTTTATGTTAGTTAATACAAGCTTGAGTTTATCTTCTATTGCTTAGCCTATTACCACATGTTGTTGTTTACATTTGTGTCATATAATAGAGCTAGTTTTCATTCCTTATAGTAACATACAAGTGCATGAAATAAAACAAATTTAGTTATGTGTGTAAGTGATTTCAAGCTTGAGTTTCGGTCATTATGGGTGGTGCCGAATTAAAATTTTGACCTTATCCTTGAGATAGATTGATTATGGCACAATTATACCAAGTATGACTTTAAAGCTTCTCCCCTTTGTTTCATACTTTTTAAAAAAAAATTAAATTTTTTTTTCCTTTCCTTTCATTTTTGTTCCACTTTATCCCTTTATTTTTATTTATACTTCCATTACTTTTTATTTACCATTACTTCCTTTTATATTTTTGTCTTGTTCTTTTATTCCTTTTTCAAATCCCTTCAACGGTCTTTATGTTGTAACAGTTGACCAATTCATGAAGGAGTATGCCAATTTCGTTGAATGTGATTTGTTGTCTATGGCCAAAATTGCAATACATCATTTCATTCCAATTGGGGATGCTCATCTAATTAAGGTTCATATTTGTCATTGGTCACCAAAGGAGATTAAAATTTTAAGTGCAAATATCAATGCAAATTAGAAAAAGGGTATTATTCTAAAGTTGTGGAGTCTTTGTGTGTGTGAACCTCATCTTATGATAAAGCCTGATGGGAGTATTTAATTTTGTATTAATTATCATCCTTTAAATGAAATGATTATCTCATATATGTACCCTCTTCCTCACATTACTAATCTCCTAGATTATATAGGGAGAAGTTGCTGGTTCACCAAGCTAGATCTTGTTTCTAGGTACTGACAAATGTTAATGGTTGAGGAGGATATTTTTAATATTGTTTTTTGTACACTATTTAGTTTATATAAGTTCTTGGTAATGTTATTTTGTTTGAATAATACTTTAGTGACTTTCTAGTAGATGATGGACGAGGTTCTTTGCGATATATTAAAGGTGACTATTGACTTCATCGATGATGTATTAATCCATTTTAAGGGGCTATAGGGGGAGCACGTCCATAATGTTTGTAAAGTGTTAGATTAGTTATAAGAAGTTGGTTTAAAGTTGAAGAAGGTGCATGTTTGGGTCTAAGAAAACAACTTATCTTAGATACTATATTTTTTATGAAGGTTTGCAAGTTAATCTTAAAAATCTTGTGGTTGTTCTCAAGTTCCCTACTCTGAAGTGTATGAATGATATGCAACACTTTTTACCTAATATGCAATATGTTAGCTGTTTTATTGATTATTTTTTGATCATACTACACTGTTGTGAACATTATTGAAGTTGTCAATATCTTCTTTTATTTGGTCTATGGATTGTAAGCAGGGATTCACAAGCTTTAAAGAACTATTGATGATTCCTCCAATTTTAGTATATTCTGACTACATCCGACCTTTCACTTTGCGCATGGATGCTTCTAATATTGTCTTGGAGATGTATTGATATAAAAGAGCCTAAGTGTGCCTAATCAGCACCATCCCATTGTATATATCAGCTACACATTACAACTAGTAGAGGTTCATAATAAAGAAGGAGTGTTTAGCAATAATTTAGGGTTTTGAGAAACTTCATGCATATCTATATAGTTCTTAGACATTAGTAAAAAGTGATAATATTACAGTTACTTTGTTATTGAAACAAAAGAACTTTGTTGGTCATATTGATTCAAATATATAATTTTGATATTGTTCATCACCCAAGGAATTTTATAGCTGATACTAACGCCCTTTTTTGATCTCCTCTTTCTTCTTTGCTCTCTTCTCATGTTTTTAATGAGCCTATTATTCCAATATTTATAGATTTTTTGGATAAAATTTTTGTGTTACCTATAGTTGCTATAGTTTATGTTTAGTGTCCATAAGGTGTAGAGCAAAATTTACCTTCTTTTGATGAGGTTCATAAAGCTCAAAAGATTAAACTGTGACTCCCACAACTTCATGATAAGTTTGAAAGTCTTACATCACTTGTTAATGACTTGCCATTTTACATTTATATTCTCAATATCACCTTGAAAATCAAATGTAGTTATGCACATATTGGATAATATCATGTTGCATCTCTAGCTAATAGAAATACATGGATAGCTTCTTGGTCACACGATAATGTCTTATATGCCCGTCTAGAATAAAAAAAATCATGGTAGGCATGGAGAAAGTGTGCAATAAAAATCAAAAGCACCACCAGCCATAAATAATCATCATGATCTATCCTTACAAAATAAAGAAGGCTATACCAAATTCGTAATACTCCCTTTCATGCTCAATTGTAATATCCTATTTCTTTGAGTTGGTGGCATTTAATATGATAAAGCCTTTTCCACAGTTAATTATTGGCAATGAGTATATCATTATTGCTTATGACTATATAGAAGTTTCTATAGTGAAGCACCAACAAAATTTTATACCCTTTTAACATATGCATACCAAAGAAATAGCAAATAGTCATCCCAATCTAAACGTTGAAAGTTCACATACTTCTTAATCATCCATTTGAAATTTCAAATAAGCTGTTCCACCAAACCATCTATCTGTGGATGATAAACACTTGTGAAAGTGTGGGATATCCCCAATTGAGATGTTAAAACATAAAATGTATCAACCATAAATGTGGGACCATTATTTGAACCTATGTTATCTTTTAACAGATGTGTCGCCCTAGCCAAACTCCCCACCTAACAATGTTATCCACCTGGATCGAGAATTTGCTCCAGATAAGAATGCTAAAACATCATTTGATTAAGGAGGAATAAATATGTTATTATTGCTTTTGATTATATAGGAGTTTATATGGTGAAACACCAACATAATTTTGTACCCCTATAAAATGTATATACAAAATAGATAGCAATTAACCATTACCACACACCCTCACTTTCATGCCTCTTGTGTTAGTCTCATTCCAATTTTATATGCTATTTATGGTAAGTGTCTAGATTCACCCAAAAGACATATCTATAGAATGTGGAGAGTGTCTTAAACCTTACAATGTTGTTATTGCATCCCAATTCATGATCTAATGTCATTCCATATTTAGTAAGTTTCAAGCTTGTCCTAGAAATTAACTCTTGGTACTAAGGGTGAAAGCCCAAAGCATGCATACCTCAAAGGGGGAGGGGGTTGTGGGGGGTTCTAAATATATAATAAGGATAGTGTTTAAATTGCATGGTTGACCACCCAAAATATTAATTTAACTCCTGCTAGGCTGTGTCATTTCTTGTTTTACATCTGATTTAGGTCTAAGTCTAAACTCCATGCTACTCTAGTCAGTGGTACCTTCTTCCTCATATTAGGTCATCAATATGTTGAAATTGTGCCAGACACTATTTGACACTGGTTTGTATGTAGGAGTTGAATACAGGGAGTTAATGCTTGTAAAAGATATTGAGTACATACAAAACCTTTATTTTTGTAATGTAACAAATTTGAAGTTTAGCTCTAAATTTAGGTACAGTACACCCACCCATCTAGGTAGAGCATGCTTCTAATGAGTCATGTAAGGTATCTAAATAAATTCTACTACCCATATTTAGATTAAGAGTATTGATCATTTGATCTCCTAGAGGAAATCAAATTGATCCTTAAGCACTATCAAGTCATTTTTAATTATTCAATCTATGTTCACTTTAGCTTTGGATTCTCTAGCATTCTTATCTACAGTGCCTTCTGTGGTCACAAAATCTAGGAGAAGGGTGAATCAAGAACTAGCTTAAAGGTGTTAGCTTACATGTTTATATAAACCTTTAAAACTTTAAAGTGTTTTAGATTAAATATCCTTAAAAACCATATATAAGCTTATGAATTTGAACTTTCCAAAAAGTCACTCAACCCAATATTATTTAAACTTAATGATGCTCAATCACACATGATTTAGAAAGAGAGTGCACTCTTATTCATGAGCCCTTTCCTTTTATATTTGAACTCTTATAGATTATCTCTTGAATTATTGTCTTTGATTATTTATAATTTCCCTTTATATTTTAACTTTTATGGATTGTCTCCCTTTATATGTAAACTCTTATAAATCATCTTTTGAGTTATTCTATTACTTATAGTCCATCATGCTTTAAAAGGTTATTTAGTCTAATACTATTTAAACCTAAGGACACTTAATCTCAATTATCCTAAAACCTTTAAAACCTTTAACTGATTAAGAAAAAGGTGCACTATTATTCATAGGACTTTCTCTTTATATTTAAATCCTTATAGATTTTTTTTAGAATCATTATTTTTGGTTGGTTACACCATACACAAATATAACTCTTTATTAATATTTAATATTTTTCTTGAGCTTTGCCTACCATTTTTAGAATAATTCTTGAGCTAATTATATGTTAACTATAGTTAGAAGTAGAAGTTACATAAATAAATTTTTTCTTTATATGAGAGTTACATGAAAAAACATATAACAAAATTTATTAAAACATATATGGAATGAAAACCATATTCACGGCCGCACTCCAATAATTAATGAGGTCACACCCAATACTGCTCTCGATTATTATATGTCGCCTTTGGCATACGGCTTGCAAATTGCATCCTCTGCCCTCGTCAAGGACAACAATTGGTGATTTGGAGCACAAATGAAAGGTTTTTACAGACCGAAAGACATGGTAAGCTTCTGTCATTCTCATGCAATGCTCGACTTGATGCAAACAATCTGAGTTTTCAGCACGCAAGGAGAAGAAAGCTATTTGCCAAGGCTGTGTTTGATTTACAACGAATCGTACCAGGAAAATGTAATGCTTGGAGTAAACATGAATGTGAATGAACTTAATTCTTTTCAAGGTTCTGCTTGTACTCCTGGCTCTCCAGGAATGGATGAATCATGTCGAACATATGTGGCTCGCAGTACAAGTCGTTTGGCACGTCCTCCCAATGAAGTGACACCTTTTTTAGAGCCTCGAGCAGCAGCTCGACGAGGATCTCGCAACCCTTTGGCGAGATATGCATTCCGTCACTGCCAAGAAACATAGAAGCATCACGAAGTTTTCTAGCAAATAAGATCAGTCTGTAACCTGAGGCACTCCGTCTCCCAGTTCTCCACACGCTTGATCGCGTTATGTAAATCAACAACGCCAACTTTCATCTCCTCGGCAACGGATAGACAAGCTTGAGCATAAGCTTGAGCTCGCTCGTCGGTACGATCAAGCCAATTCAGTGCTAGGGGACCAAATCTCTTCCTGGAGAAACAATCCCAAGAAACTATCGAGTGATGCCAAAAAAAAAAAAAAAACTGACCAGGAAAGGGCTCGTCGAGCTTCGTCATTGATAGGAGGGGGAGTTATCAGCAGCACTCGAGTGGAATCCGAGAGTGACTAAAACGAGAAATCTTTTAGTACGAGTTACGAGCTCATGGAGAGGGGTCGATCGATAGTAACCTGGCAATACTCACACATATAGCGCAAGTTTTCCTTGTATTCGGGAATAGGGACAAACTGGCCTTTGCCACTGGGAAGTGGAAATGCGGCATCGTTTGTTCCCAGGAAGATCACAACCAGAGCCGGCTGCTGGGACTCTGGAGAATCCTGCAAAGTAGCAACGAGAAAACAAGATGAGCAACAAAGAAGAAGAACTTGAGCGTTTCTTTGCAAGCACCTTTGGTAAGAAGTGTGGGAGAGCTGCTCTTGTTCGGCGGGTATTCCAGCCTCTGTATCCACGCAGCAAAATATCAGCCTGGCACCATTTGATAGATTTCCGGTTACTCGGGAAGTGGGGATTCTAAGAGCACATCCAACCTTTCGCGAGTAGAGATCCGCGAGCACCGCGCCCCATCCTCCTGGGCGGAACGAGTACTCCACCATGGACGCGCCCAGCAGCACGAAAGCCGGTCGCTTGTGCGCCATGGATTGGAGCGAGCTCAGCGCCCTACACTGATATAACGTACAAACTCATGGAAGTCTTAAATCACGAGGGACCCAAGAAAGTTTGGAAACTTTCGACGTAGCCCAAGGCAAAGATCATACAGCACGCTCAACTGGACACGATCGATTCTCAGGAGAAAAAGAAAAGAAAAGAAAAACCCCAGAGATTTGGGGGAATAGCCCAAATCTCAATCCTAGCGAAGCTACGTGTGCTAGAAAGAATGCCAACACGCCACGACGCCATGTACACGATTTTACATCCGAAAGTGACGCTGACAATCAAGCAATCAACTTCGAGAAAAGACTTCAAAGTTTCTCAACTTGATTGATACTTGGCAATAGGGATATTATTGAATAATTCTAGACTATTTCTTATAGTTTCTTCCTTATAAGCGTGTTTGGGTGGAAATTTGAACCAATGTAGATTCCACCCCACCTCAATTACTTCCCATCGCTATAGTATCACTCTTGTAACCTCATGTGAGCCACTATTCAACCCAAGATTGTAGAGTAGCAGCTACTCCGGAAGGCTCCAACTATTTTTTCTGGAATGGATTTATAAGAATAACAGGTTAGATTGTACAGCGAGAGAGATTATTAGTAGCAATGAACTTAACTATGCCAAAAAAGAATCAATTGGAGTTCAAGAGACACTGGATTTGTCTCGCCAGAGCTTTGATCCGTTCTGACAGAAACTCTTTGCATTGCAGGTAGAGAAAAGAAACAACCTTCTTGTCAAGGTTTATGTTGCCTTGAGCTTGCGATGATGTGCATCCTGGTAAGGTTTTAGAATTGCTAGTAGAAGTTTTGCAGACTGGGGTACAGATATCAGCGACCGTTCACTCGGTGCTCCTGTTTTCAGACTGCAATATATAAATGTCCCAGCGTTTCCAAAAGAATGGCTATCTGGTCAGCGTTTGAACGACGAAGCAACTTGGTTGATTTTGATTGTGCTTTTCCATTTTATCAAGTTTCCTCTTGTTCCACTGTATTGTATGCACCCTGACATTTGGAGATTTCCTTCGACACACTACTACAGAGGTAGATGGAACAACTGTGTTACATGGCAACTGAAGCGCTCCCTTCCACCCCAAAAGGTTCGTTCGATCTTTTGAAATCATAAAAATTGATTGGATTTGCAGCGTTACCGTGGTTTGCCGGAGAGTTTGTGCTGCTTCCTCACCCCCACCAAGATTGGTGCCAGCTTGGGCCCCTTGACAATCTGCAGGAGATAATTCATCAGAGAAGGGAGGTTCCTTCTTAATTGAACACAAAAAAGATCTAAATCAATCCAATGATTACATGTACACAAACATTCATGTAATCTATCATTAGATTGATTTAGATCTTCTCCTGTTCAATTAAGAAACAAAAAACACAACCTTAAAAGAACCTTAAAAGATGTGGAAAGTTAGATATTTGTCTTGCAGCTTCAAAAGAGAAATAAATCACTCGACTCGAAGAAACACTTGATAGTAATTCTCTGCAAGCAAGACTCCCAAAAGTAGCAACACAAGGGATCCCATGCAGAAAAAACTGTCTCAATATAACCAAGTCAACACTCTCAGTCAACGACCACTGAAGTCAACTAAAAGTCAGCGGCCCTAGCGCTTCACCTTCTGACAAATCGAGGTCCCTTCCACTTTCTCCTGTGTGTGTGCGTGTGTGTGTGTGGTGTGAGAGAGAGAGAGAGGGGCGATGGCGCCTGGATCAGCGACTCCTTCTCCATCACGACCCACTGGTAAGAAAACCCAATGCGCTCCTCCTCCAATTTCTCCTCACATTCCCCCAGGATTTGTAGTGGCCGAGTCGCAGGCTCAGGCGCCGGCGGTGATGCCAATTCCTGTCATCCCTGTGGCCGTTCCAGGTAAGAAGAAGATCAGCCAAGCTACAAACGCTTACTAGAGGAGGTTTCTTCTTTTTTTCCCCCTTTACAGGAAGTTCGTCGCCATCGCTGCTGCTGATGCAGAGGCAGCAGCTGCCAATGCCGGCGGCGCTTCCGACAACCGGGGACAGTCGAGTCATGACCGAGGATCAGCTCGCGCAGTTTGCCGAACAGATCAGGCAGTTCTCAGAGATCTCTCGCTTCAGCATCCAACGCCAGAAAGCGAGCATGGACGCTGAGAGGCAGCGTCGAACTCACAAATCTGGTAAACAACAAAAACAAAATCTCGTTTTGATGCTAGAAAAAGAGAAAAAAAGAAAACAAAATCCACCTTTACTGATCTTCCAGGATTCCGAGGCTCGTCCAGCAACACCGAACGGCCACCCGGAGCCACTCGGCCTCGCTGGAAACCAACGCCTGTCCAGATATCAATCCTTGAGTATATATTTGAGAACAGCGACTTACTTCCAGGAGACAAGGACATCACCATCATCACCGACGGCCTCCGGCTTTATGGGCCAGTCGAGGAGGTGAACGTCTTCTACTGGTTCCAAAACAGGCGAGCTCGGGCCAAGAGGACTGCAAATCAGGAGCACCACCCAAAGGTCAGGAACTTCGATCCTGCAAAAACTTTAGAACCATTTGAAAAGCTGTAAAATGATCTCACCATGAAGCTCGTTTCATTGTCGCGAAGGTGTTTGAGCATATATGTTGGCCATCAGATCGTAAGTTGCCGCACTGTCCGTCGCTTCCAGTAATGACTTGAAAGCAGCCTTTCCCACCTCGACGTTCTTGAGCTTGCAACAGGCAGCTAGAACGGCCAACCATGCTACCGTGCTTGGTCCTGTCTCCGCCATAGCTATCGCTTCGTTTAGTTCGTCAGCTCGTCCAAACAAATCAGCCATGCACCCGTAGTGCTCAATCCCTGGAGCTACTCCAAACTTGGAAGCCATAGCTGCAAAGAGCTGTCTGCCTCTGTGAACCAAACCAGCATGACTACAAGCGCTGAGAACACCAACGAAAGTTACCACATCTGGTTGCACACCTTCGTCCTGCATTCTCCCCCAAGAATCAAACACCAATCCAGTGTTTCCCTGGTGAGTGTATCCTGTTATGAGCGTATTCCAGCTGATCAAGCCTCTTTCCCGAAGCAAATCAAAGAGCTGCTGAGAGGTTGCCATTCTTCCACACTTTGCATAAAAATCCACCAGACTATTGGCTGTCACTGCCTCGTCTTCAAGGCCATGCCTGCACACCTCCGCGTGAATTTCTCTTCCGACTTTGATCAAGCCTGCTGCAGCACAAGCCTTCAACGCAGCGACGTAAGTCTGGCAATTTGGTCGACAACCTCGTCGCGTCATGGAAGAAAACAAATCCAAGGCTTGCTCTTCTTCCTGTGTTTCAGCATAGCCGAGAATGAGAGCAGTCCACAACACCACACCCGGTCTTGGAATCCTGTCAAAAAGCCTTTTCGCGTCCGCCAAGCTCCCACACTTTGCATACAAGTCCACCAATGCACTCGCCAGGAAAGTACTTGAATCGTGTCCAAGGTTTGCAGCTTGAGAGTGCACAGCCATGGCTCTTTCCAGGGCCGCCACCTTGATAGGCTTTCCATCTATTTTCGTGTGAAGTTCCTTGGTTGCTAGAGTAGTGCATGCCTTGACAGCAGCAACGAGCATCTGCGCATCCATCTTCTCTTGCGTGAGTGAAAGTAACTCCAGAGCCAGATTTTCCTGCCCGTTCTCAACATATCCCAGCATGAGTGACGTCCAAGACACGACACTCCGCGTCTTCATGCCGTCGAACACCCTTTGAGAATCCCAAATGCTTCCACACCTGGCGTACGAGTCTACAAGAGCGTTGGCCAACTGAATGTCTAGCTCGCCAAAACCGTCCAAAGCTCGCGAGTGAACTGTCATGACTCTTTCCAGGCACACCGCTTTCACTGCTTCTTTCTCGGCCAGTTTGGTGCATGCCTTAAGGACCGCAAGAAACGTCCGCGAGTTTGGCTTGCACCCCTGAGCTTGCATTTCCCGGAACAAATCCAACGCAGCATCTGCTTCACCGTGCTCGCAGTAACCGAGCATCAAAACAGTCCAGGAGACGACCCGACGATCTTCCAGAGCGGCAAAGATGCTCCGAGCGTCGGCCAAGCTTCCACACTTCGCGTACATGCCAATCGCTGTGTTTGACAGAAAAGCATTGGAGCTCAATCCAGCGTTTGCTGCCTCGGAAAGCAAAGCCATACCTCGATCCAAAGACAAGAGCTTGACGACCTTCCCACCCTCCAGTTGCTGGCCCTGTTCTTTCTCCGCCAGCTTGGAGCACGCTTTGATCGCCGCAACAAAGCTCCGGCCATCTGGAACACAGCCTTCGTCAATCATCCTCTCAAAAACTCTCAAGCTCGTCTCTTCCAAATCATTCTCTACATACCCCAGCATTAGCGTGTTCCATGTCACCGCGTCGCATCTAGCCATGCCGTGGAACACCGCAACCGCGTCCACAAGGCTCCCGCAATTAAAATACACATTCACAAGCGCATTCGCGACGAAGAGATCTTGCGCCAGGCCTCGGCGAATCGCGAGAGCGTGCGCATTCCTCGCCCGAGCGCCATCCCTGGCGATCGCGCAAGCCTTGAATTCGGCGACAATGGCGAAAACCTCCCCATCGCGCATCCTCCGCAAGAGCCCTAAAATCTTAGAACCCTAGGCACAACTCATCGAATATTCCCTTTCAAACAAGATTCTGAGAATATTCTCCACCCGCATGCCGGGTGAAAATTTCGCGCCAAGAACGGTTGGGCATGTTAGATTGCTGTACACAAGATTGGACAGTTTTAATCGTGTAACGCCCAAACATCATAAAAATAATAGCGCAGAAATCTAACAGAAAGTATCGCTTCATGTTCCTTGCGTCCCAAGTCCAAATCGCTGGATTGGGGAGGTATTGTTTAATCGATTCGGTGGTTTTTTTTCATGATCATGGGATGGTTTCTTCACGGCTATGGTGGCGATGGCGGATCCCATGGCGGAGAGGCGTCGTGCCATCCATCACACACCAAGTCATGGGAATGCACGTTATGCTATAGTGACCCTATGGGACCAATCTCTTGACTATATAAGCCACACCCATTCCACCCCCATTCATTGTCTCGTTCTTAAAGATTCTCTTAGATTCCTTCGTCTCTCTTCTCTTGATCTTCCCTCCAAGAAGGAGAGAAGAACAAATGGAGATGTCTCTTCCAGCGATTTCTCTTGCGATCTTCCTGCTGCTCGCGAGCGTGTGTGATGCTTCGTACTACCGCGAGAAGAAGAACAAGTACGTCGATGAGAAGTATCATAACAGGGGATCATACTACTTCAACAAGTACTACGGCTACGCCTACAAATTCAAGCGATCCCCGCCGCCGCCGCCGCCGCCAATGAGGAAGAAACCATCCCCGAAGCCGTCGCCCTGGCCGAGCACTCCATCCATCCCAGCGCCGCCACAATCGAGCCTGGCGGCCCAGTTCATGATGCCCCAGAACGATGCGCGCGCGCGATTGGGATTGAGGCCACTCATCTGGGATTCCAAGCTCCAGGCATTCGCGGAGGATTGGGCGAACCAGCGCGCGAGATATGGGAATTGCTACCTCCAGCACTCGAATGGGCCTTACGGCGAGAACATCTTTTGGGGCGGCGGCAAGGCCTGGAGCCCGGCCGAGGCCGCCAATGCCTGGATCGAGGAGCGCAATTGGTACAACTATGGATCCAACTCGTGCCAATCCGGGCAGCAGTGCGGCCACTACACCCAGATCGTGTGGAGGGATTCCGAGAGGATTGGATGCGCGCGCGTTACTTGCAGCAGTGGTGATGTTTTCATGACTTGCAACTACGATCCTCCCGGGAACTACATTGGCGAGAAACCCTACTGATTGATTCGATCGATCCGGATCTATCAAATCGAGAAAGAAGAGTTGACCATTGAATAAGTTTGACCATAGACGCCCGGTCAACTGCTGAGGTGTCGCATTATTTAGTTGATATAAAACGGAATAAAGAATTTTACCATTTCTTCGTTCTTGTTTTAGGGTTCTTTCTGTCCCATGGTCACCATGGATGGAAGAGCTCCCGATTCTCTCGGCGCAGCCATCGCCACGGCTGTGGAGCGCATCGGTAAGCTCCAGGAGGCGTTTCTTGCGGTGCGGAGCTTGCGAGGGTCTGCCCTGGCCGTGGAATGGAGCGAGCTCAAGGAGGATTTGAGCGACAAGGAGCAGAATCTCAGGCAGAGGTACGAGCAGCTAGTTGCCATGGAGCGGGATTTCGAGGCCCGGAGCAGGGAAATCCAAGGCAACATCGCCAAGCGCGACGCCGAAATCTCCGACAAGGAAGACGCCTTGAATCGAAAGGACCGGGATCTAGCAGTGGTAGAGGCAGTAGAGAACCAGCAGCAGCAGGGCAAAGAGCCAGGAATCCAGCCAATGGACACCGACATTGTCGTGGATTACTCTCCAGCAAAGATCCCACCGCTCAAGGACTCCTCTTCTTGCGACGCTGGGACTGCATCCCAGGACAAGGCGGCGGAGGTGAGAGTTCGTCCATATCTTAAGTCGCTGTGTGAGAACATGGATGGAGAAGGGCTCCGGAAGTATGTGATCGATCACAAGAAGGACATGGGTGCTCTCCGGATTGAGATGCCGTCGGCTCTGCAGCACGCTAGCGATCCGGCACGGCTGGTGCTGGATGCGATCCAGGGGTACTACCATCCACCGGAGCTCGATTCTAGTAGCAACGAAGTGGGATCGTCCGCTCCCGCCAACCGGAGAGCTTGCATTCTTTTGCTAGAGGCATTGTCGTCGGTACTTGGTGTCGATCATCCAGAGGTGCCACTCGATATAAAGTTTCTGGTGAGGGAAGTGGCCCAGCAGTGGAAGTCCAACATGGACATCCAGGATGGCCCCGAGGGGAACTCTTTGGATGCTCAAGCGTTCCTTCAGCTCTTGGTAGCTTATGGTCTCAGCTCCGAGTATGATGAGGAAGAGCTGTGCAAACTGGTTCTAGCCGTCGCACGACGAAAGCAGTCGCCTGCTCTTTGCAAGGCTCTTAATCTGTCGCATAAGATTCCGGGTTGGTCTTCTTTAGCTCCAGCGAGTGTGAGAGAGCGAGGGAGGAGGATCCTCTCTATTTCCTTCTTTTCCTTTTTGCCTAGATTTTTCTTCTTTCTGGCTGCCTGTGTGTTTGGGACTCTAGGATTCATTTCTTTGTGCTGCCGTTCTAATGAAGTGTTTCTTGTTTGGTTTTCTTTGCAGAGATCGTGGATCATCTTGCTGCTGATGGAAAGCAAATCGAGGCTCTTGCGTTTGCACACGCATTTGACATGATGGACCGTCTAGAGCCGGTATCTCTACTCAAGACTTACTTGAAAGACGCACGAAGGAACGTTCACAACAAGCCTGGCAATGGTCCCAAGGGTCAGGTAAGCACTGCTTTTTACTAGGTAATCACTCAGACATTCCCTTGCTCGTTGCCACAGGTCGATGCCGTGACTAAAGAGCTAACCGCTGTCAAGAACGTGATAAAATGCATAGAGGACTACCGGCTAGAAGACGACTACCCGTCGTCCCCGCTACACAAGCGAGTAGTTCTTTTAGAGAGGACCAAGTCGGAGAGGAAGAGAACAGGTGGCTCGGTTAAAGGTCAGGCAAAGCGTCCGAGAAACGGAGGCTACGACAGAAACTACTTTAACAGGCCAGCGGACAAATTCCAAGTTTTCAGCGAGGTCCCTTACAGCCTCGCGCCGGCGCCAGCTTACGATGCTCGGCTTCCCGCAACATACTCGACTTACGCTCCAGGGGGTGTAGCAAATGGCAGGAGTAGAACACCGGCAGGGGGGAGCTATGTCTACGCGGTCGATGGCTCTATCTACAGCTCCAACATTTATGGAACACAATCTCCAGCGCCTTACACCAGTTACCAGATTGCTCCCGGGCTTCCGCCGCCACCACCGACTTACCAGACAACTTTCATGCACTAGCTGGGTGGAAGAGGAATGGGAGCTCTCGAGAATAAGCAGGGGTGGATGTACATCAAGAGGAAATAACAAGCAGCTCATTTTCTTCTTTCTTTCTTTCTTTCTTTTTCCCCCCGTTTTTTTCCGAAGGTTGGTGTTTGCTATTTGGAACTTCTTAGGTTTTTACTCTTCCAGGAAGAATGAAGACATTGGCACTGCCTTGTGGTGCCATGGTGCCACTTTGTCTCGTCCAGGTAACTGGGTTCTCGTTACTTTGCTTTGCTAACTCGTTAACTTCGCAGAGAGTGAGCGCTTCAGCTGTGGTTTATCCGGTTGGGAGCTTGCACAAGACAGTGCCAAGACGTTCTGTGAGTGAGTTTATATTCTTTTCTTTGTCTAATTGTGTTGCAAACAGGCGTGCTGCAAAGTTGTATCCACAAAAGCAGCAGCATTTGACGATGTTTTCGGTTTTTCTGCGAAAGAAGAAGAATCTGGGATAGAAAATGCGGGTGGTGCCAATGCAGCTCGTGCGAAGAGGAGTAACTGGTAATCCTTGTCTGCCTTCTCACTTACAATCGTAGTTTTATTTATTTGTTTTCCAGGAGGCAAGGAGGTCTTGTTATCACTTTGATTCTTTCCTCGGTTGTGTTCATAGCATTTATTTTCGTCGATTCTTTGCTATGGAGAGCTGTCCGACGTCCCAGTGCTACGTTTCTTCTCACAGCTCCATTTGTTTGCTCGCTAGTCGCAACTGGCTGCCTCGGATCATACTGCGTGCCGCTGCTTGCAAAGCTCAAGGCCCAGCAGATATTTCGAGTAGAGGGCCCGGCTTCGCATCTTTCAAAGGCTGGAACACCAACAATGGGTGGCCTGTTCTTTATTCCGGTGGGAGTCGGAGTTGCGAGAGCTGTAACCAGATTTTCGTCCACAGAAGTAGCCGGAGTAGCAGCAGCGACCCTGGTTTTTGCAGCTATTGGCCTCCTAGACGATTTTCTGTCGCTGGCGAAGAAGCATAACTATGGAGTTCCAGGACCGATCAAGTTTCTTCTCGAGGTTTGCTGATTTTGTTCTCAAGTTTTTTCTTTCAACAAACAAGCTCCTTGTAGGTGGTCAGTGGCGTGTGTTTTTTCTTCTGGCTGGATTCAGCGGGCTTGCCTTCTCCATACAAAGTGTATGTTCATGTCAGCTCAAACTTTGGCCGATATCTTCTCCTTTTTTTTTCGGTTACAGGAAGAATCTGGTGCCTTTGCCACCTCCAGTAGGCTTGTGGAATATTGGCAAGTGGTATCTTCCACTCACTGCCTTTTGCTTCGCAGCAATGGCCAACGGTGTCAACCTCACAGACGGTCTGGATGGTCTTGCTGGCGGAACTGCTGCTCTGGCTTTTGCGGGAATGGCCGTGGCTGTTCTTCCCATATATCCTGGTAAGCTTAAGCAGCATTGAAAGCTTGCCATGGCCAGTCTCTCTTCCCTTGCAGCTCTGGGAGTTTTCGGAGCATCCATGGCCGGTGCTTGCGTGGGATTCTTACTACATAACCGGCACAAAGCGTCCGTGTTTATGGGAGACACCGGCTCCCTCGCTCTTGGGGCGGCTCTTGCAGCGATGGCCTCATGCACGGGCTTGTTTCTTCCTCTCTTCATCGCGTCGGGCGTGTTTGTCATCGAAACAGTCTCAGTCATGGCTCAGGTAACCAGCACCATCTTTCGTTCTTTCTTCTTCCACTATCAGCTCTCTTTTCCTATCACAGGTTGCTTACTTCAGGTATACGAAGAGAGTTCACGGAACTGGACGCCGTTTGCTGCGAATGGCACCCTTCCATCACCATTTGGAGCACCTGGGGATGAAAGAGTTACACATCGTCGCTGGAGCATACCTCGTTTCAGCTCTTCTAGTCACATTCGCTGCTCACGTCGGCCTTATTTCGGCTTGAAGAGAGGTAAACATCATGCTCGAGGAGAACCATTACGCGTTTTTCTCAATACAGATTACATATATCTTCTGGATCTGAAGATGCATTGACGAAGAGGGGACCGGAGACAAAGAATGAAAAAATGCTCCTAGGCAACTGTGAGTGAGGTTCTTTCTTTTCCTCTTTTCCTTTTCACGCTGTGGTCGAGGCCACTGGGACTTTCTGGTCTTCCCCCGGCTGCATAATGACGAAGTTCACAGTCGAGGGAGATCCGCCAACAACAGGTGATTGATGGGAGGCGTGATCCGGTTTGTGTCTCTTCGCTCCAGATTGCTCCAGATTGCTGGGGACATGAGGAGCAGCTTCAAATGCCGGGCTGTGATCCGGTGCTCCTCGTCGCGTCTTGGCCAGGAGCACCGTCTCAGCTCGGAGCTGCTTGCAAACTTCTCGGACTCTCCTGATCCCTGTGGCACAAAACACAACAGTGAGTCAGACTAGCTGGGGTTGGAAGCAGGGGGGGGATATTTTTTCTCATTTTTTCTGGGACAGGGGGGAGGGATTTGCCACCCAACCAACCTCGTCTCAGATCCACAGCAGCTGTTGTGTTGTGGTACATTTGGGTCTTCAAAACCTGGAGATGATCAATCACCAAACATGAGCAGTTGGAACCCTAAACATGGGAAATCCACACACCTGAATCACAAGAGGCCTCAACTGTTGGACTGCTTGTTCCAGCTCAAAATACCGGTTTGGTTCGCCTAATAGCTGCTGCTGCTGCTGGTACAAATGTTGCTGCTCCATCCCCCACCTCCAATTGCGATCCCACACAAAAACCCACCCAAAACACTGGGAGGAGAAAAGCCCTACCTAAAAAGCTATTCCTCTTTCCCCTTGGATAAATAAAAGAAATAGCCAAGGAATTTATTTCTCTCCCTCTCTACAGCTTTTATGATATAGTAATCACACTTTAATCAAGGGGCATTTGAAACACTTTCAAGATCTATATACCAGCTAGCATACGTTTCATGCTAAACTTACTTGCCACCCTCCTTGATCTGGATCATCGCTAACGTTTGTTTGTCACCAAAATATTTGTGCAACGCTTTGATCAACACCTTGTCTACAAACAGCTTCTTCAGATCGAGCCTGGAACCGGGCTCACGATTTGCCCTTGATCCGACCCAAACCTTCTGTTTTGCTTAAACTCTTGATCGATCTCGTCATGGCATACTTCCGGCTATCTGCATTGTAAGCTTGATCTAGTCTTTCCCAAAAAATCAGGCTCTGCAACGGTGGCCTCGAGCCAAAACTCTTTACACCATCTTCAAGAGAAGGAATAGCTCTGATCCATTCGAACTATTCAACAGTTGGGAAGGTTTCATGGAAGCGTCAGCTTTTGGATTTTTTTCGATTTGTGACTGGTTTTCTTCTTGCCGCTCGGACGAGCCCTCGACTTTACATCACTGTCTTCGATCGGGCATGTATTCACCACGGTCCTTGTCTGATCGTCTTCGTAAACCACTGTTTCTGTGACAAGGAACAACATTATTAGAGAGGAATGGTTCCTTGTCTAGCACACCTTCCAGATTATCGCCTTCCGCTTGGTCGTCAACTTCCTCGGGATCATGAGAACTCTCGGGATCTTGTTGCAATCCAAGCGCTTGTTTCCTGAGCAGCCGCCTCTGTGAGGCAAAAACAATAGACTAGAACTTAGACAAGTTGTATTAAACCTTGATGCAAGAGCTCTGCAGAGAAGAAGGGATTGATCTCTAGAAATGTTTTACCTCTTGCCTCGCCGCGAGTTTTTTCTTCCTCTCCTTTGCTTGCTGCTGCATAGCCCCTGCCTTGCGCCTCTGATTCTTTCTCTTCCTGAATCCCGTCAGGAACTCCCTACAGCCAACACAAGCCCAGCCTCGCATTCTCGCTGCCGCTCCAAAATCCACACTTACCTGCGCTTGGTCTCGTCGAATTCCACCACAAGCCCCTTGTCGCGCCGCGCGCGCTTGGCGCCACCCCCCGGCCTCGCCATAGCCGAGCTGCCCTAAAACCCTAAAACACACTTTGCCTCGTTAGCCCTAAGTTTCAAACGCATCCATCAAATCCGCCACGTGGGATAAAGTGAGGCAAATGCCAGTCAGTAGTTCTGGCACGAGCTTTTTGGAAGCGCTAGGGCGGTGGAGGGCGTCTTGTGCGTCGCATTCCTGGTGAGTTCTCAATCCAGGCGATCGAGGTGGTAGATTTTGTGGCGCTGATGGGAGAATGTGATGTAGATTGAGCAATGCAGCGATTCCAGCTCGCGATCTTTGCCGCATTGTGGTTCTTGAGCGCGGGAGCAGCTCTAGGGATTGGCGGCGGCCATAAGAAGCATCGAATCAATCGATGTAGCTTCCCCAAGGGATTCGTGTTTGGGACTGCATCAGCTTCCTATCAGGTATGGAAAGGAAGATTTTTCTTGCATCCCTGCTTTATTTTCTTCTTTTGGGATGTCACAATATCGTGTTTGTTTTCTTCCCAGTATGAAGGGGCTGTGAAAGAGGATGGTCGAAAGCCGAGCATCTGGGACACTTTCTCGCACACTCCAGGTTCTAGCGTGTTTTTTTTTCTCAATGTAGCTTGCGATTTTTACTCGTTTCTAGAAAATCTCCAGGGAAGATTAAAGAGGGAAAAAATGGAGATATTGCCGAAGATCAGTATCACCGTTATCGGGTAAAAGACAATTTCTTCGTTGCTGTATTTCTAGAGGCTTAAAAGTCTCCGAGTTGCAGGAAGATATTGGCTTAATGAAGAACATGAATATGGATGCGTACAGATTTTCTATCTCCTGGTCACGAATATATCCAGGTAGAGGGAATGTAAAGTTCGTTGTCACGGCTTTTTCACATCGCTTTTGAAGATGGAGACACGAAGAATCTCAATGCTGCTGGAGTCGCCCATTATAATATGCTCATCAATAGTTTGCTACACGAAGGTAAAGGGTCAGCCACTGCTGTCAGCCATCGTTGACACTGGCCTGTATTTATATTGCAGGAATTCAACCATACATCACTTTATACCATTGGGACTTGCCTCAAACTCTCGAAGATAGCGTCGGTGGATGGTTGAGTCCACAGATAGTGTAAGATTCCGTGACACTGTCCGTTGGTTGACTTATATCTTCTGGTTGTGATTTACAGAAGCAATTACGCAGCATACGCGGAAGCGTGTTTTGCTGCATTTGGAGACAGAGTCAAGCACTGGATTACTTTCAATGAGCCTCTATCTTTCATTACATCGGGCTACGCAAGTGGCTCGGGTCCTCCATCAAGGTGCACGTCGTGCTCCAAAGGAAACTCTGCCACAGAACCTTACATAGCAGCACATAATGTGTTACTCTCGCATGCCGCAGCCGTCGATATCTACCGAAAGAAGTACCAGGTAAAATGGTGGTCTTTAGATTTCTGGTGTGATAAACTAGCATCCAATGCAACAGCCTAAGCAAGGTGGTAAGATTGGTATAACTCTCAACTCCAACTGGTACGAACCGTCCACAAATTCGGCAGCAGACAAAGAGGCTGCCCAAAGAGGACTGGACTTCGACCTTGGATGGTATTTTTCTTGATCTTTACAATAATGCACGGCTAAAAGCGTTGTCGGCTGCTCAACAGGTTTCTAGAGCCCATTGTGTCTGGCGATTATCCAAGGTCCATGCGAACATCTGCAGGCACTAGACTGCCTGTGTTTACACCGGAACAGGCAGCTGCGATTAAAGGTTCTATGGATTTTCTGGGACTAAACCACTACACTTCGAATTATGCAAAGGCCGGTCAAGTGGTTCCGAGTAATCAGGTTACTTACTACTTCCAGGACTCCAGAGTCGCGTCGTCATGTAAGAAGCACATAAAATCTTTGCAGCCATGTTTCTAAACGATTCATTTCCTTCTGCAGTTGAGAACAACGGAGTCGCAATTGGACCAAAAGTAAGCTGCAGAAATTCATAACACTTGTCTGATGCTGTGATTCTCGACCAGGCGGCATCAGATTGGCTTTACATTGTTCCATGGGGATTTCAAAAGCTCGTCACTTACGTTGCTCAGCGCTACAACAATCCGGTGATCATCATCACTGAAAACGGTAAGAGCTCAGCTTTAAGTTTCCAGTTTCTTTCTCGACCTCAATCACTCGGCAAAGCAGGAGTGGATGAATTCAACGATCCTTCCCGCTCGCTCAAACAATCTCTCCGTGACACCACGCGAGTGAAATACTACAGCGACTACATCTCCAATTTGCTCCAAGCCATCAGGTAGAACTTAAAAAAACTAGAGTTTTCTCACGATCATCGATGATTTTCTCACGAGTTTTTTGGATGATCCAGGAGCAAAGCCGACGTTCGAGGCTACTTTGCGTGGTCTCTGCTGGACAATTTCGAGTGGAACGATGGCTACAGCGTGAGATTTGGCCTCCATTTCGTGGACTTTAACAACAACCTCAAGCGCTATCCCAAGCACTCGGCTCTCTGGTTTAAGCGCTTTCTAAACCAAACATGTGCTTAAACTTCCTCTTAAGCTAATCCAATCCTAGATTTTTCACGTTTAAATGCTTGAAACCCTAGCAATGGCAAGGTATTGAGTGTCTCTCACGCATTCTTCCAGCCACCGCCGCGCAGCGAGCGATCGATCGATGATAGGGCAATGATCGCGGCGAATTGCGACGAGGATGGAGCAGCGGGCCCATCAGCCGAGGGCAATCGGTGACTACATCACCAGCCAGGAGATTGGAGCAGGGTCTTTTGCGGTGGTGTGGAAGGCGCGGCACAAAATCACAGGGCATGAGGTCGCGATCAAGGAGATTGGCACTGAGAAGCTCAATAAGAAGCTCCAGGAGAGCCTCCTGTCGGAGATCTCCATCCTCAAGAAGGCGAATCATCCAAATATCATCCGCTTGCATGATATTGTCGAGGTACTGTTTGAGCGCTTGTGTGAGGGATTTTTCTTCCTTTTTCGCTGTGAGATCGCGAGTGAATGAATGGATGGATTCGCAGGCTCCCGATCGCATCTATCTAATTTTGGAGTACTGCGCTGGTGGAGATTTGGCTGGCTACATTCATCGCCATGGCAAAGTTGGTGAATCGGCTGCCAGGAATATCATGCAACAGCTTGGTATGTGGAAGAATTCCTAGTTCTAACGAGGGAATCTAAAGGTTTTGATGGATAGGTTCTGGCCTCCAAGTTCTTCGGAAGAACAACTTGATCCACAGAGACTTAAAGCCTCAGGTATGCTTTCAAGAGTCCAGTTCTTCGCCACTGTTTTACTTCTTTGATTGAGGACAGAACTTACTGCTATCAACAAACGATCACAATGCTGTTCTCAAGATTGCTGACTTTGGATTTGCGCGGTATAGCTCTCCCTTCCTTGCTCCATGTTTCTATATCTTGTTTCTTTGCTTGCAGGTCACTGCAACCTCAAGGTATGGCGGAGACGCTTTGTGGCTCACCTTTGTACATGGCTCCCGAGATCTTACATTGTCAAAAATATGATGCAAAGGTACGTGTCTATGTCGTGTAGAGGCTGCTTTGTTCACCAGCCATTCCTTGTACAGGCTGACTTATGGAGCGTTGGGGCCATTCTCTATCAGCTTGTTCTCGGAAGGCCGCCATTTTCCGGAAATAATCATGTCCAGGTAGGTAAGCTATAATCCTTGAAGCAAAGTCTTGACTTTCGTTGTTTCTTCGTGTTATAGCTTTTGCAAAACATAACAAAGAATGAGGTCCAGTTCCCTCATGCAGCTCAGCTTCATCCTGATTGCATTGATATGTGCCGTAAATTGCTTCGACGGAATCCAGGTTGGCATCTCAATGTAGAATTTCTTTGCCTGACACACCTTTGTGTGTGTAGTTGAGCGTCTTTCGTTTGAGGAGTTCTTTAACCATCCCTTTATGAGGTAAGAAGTTAGTTGGATTTCCTCAAGTGCTTGAAATTTCTGTCTGTTCCCGTAGGCCAAGCTCGTTGAGGCCGTTTCATAAAGCCACTCATACGGACGTGGACTCCTTGGATTCTCATCAGGAAGATTGTTTCCCTTTCCTGATTGATGAGGAACCGCAAGGCACAATCGATATTCCTGTAAAGCAGCCACCGCAAACTCGAATCACAGGCGTGAAGCTATCAAATTCACCTCCTAATCTGTTCAAGGAGCAAAGAGGCATTCCAGATCATGAAGAAACTGGGAAGGTTTATCATATGGCAGAGGCTGAGGCTTGCCAGGACGCTGAAGGATCCAGTTCTCCAAGAACAGGTGCTTATGTTTTTAATTTCCTTTCTCCAAGCTCATTGTTTTATCTTTCCCTTTCGTTTTTTTTTTTTTTCAGTGGTGGATTCAATGGAGTATATAGAGCGAGACTATGTGGTAGTAAAACGGTTCACTTCGCCAGAAGCACTGTCGCTAACATTCAGTGCCTCTCCGAATGACCAGCATGGAAGCAAAGGAGGATCACCTCATAAGAACTTTACAAAGTCTTCATCGCCAGTTCTACATGCTCCTCTTTCAGGTGGTGCTGGCAGTCGAGGTTCCACACCACCAGGTTTGTCTGAAGGATACCATCATCCTGATTCTGGCGACACGCTTGAAGCACCATCTCCTCACCCCGCAACGAGGATATCTGCGCTGCAGTGTTGTGCTCGCTTGGTGGCCGAGCTAGCCACAGATAAGGTTCGTTTATACTTGTTTTACTTTTTGGTGTGGAGCCCTTGGTTTTGCAGTTCAACTCTGGCCATCCTTTGGAATCACTCTCTGTGCATTTGATATGCCTTGCGATTTGGAAGGAAGCGTTGCAAGTGTGCCATGCCTGGGCAGCACCGGCAACTGGTCCCCGAGGCTTGGGAATGCCCAGAGATCAAGAAGGCGCTGCCACTTGCACGCAAGTAGAACACGAGTTTTCTCTCGCAGTTGATCGAGGTGATGGTTATGCTGCTCACTTGCGAAGCATGGACGGTAAGCGATCTAGACACTATATCTCGTTTTCATTCCAACTTACTCTTTCGATTCTCCAGGGAGCGTGGAGATGCCAGACGCAGTCGAGATCATCTTCCAGGCAGCCCTGACAGTCGGCCGAGCTGGAGCGGTAAGCTCTCTCAAGTTTAAGTTTCTTCCAAAGATTTAGAGCTTTCTCTCACTCTCTCGCTTTCTCACAGGTGGAAGAGCTCATGGGAAACGTAGCAAACGCAAGCGTGGCTTATGGAAAAGCCGTGACTTTCCTCTACTTCCTACTCGTGGAGGGCCCTTGTTTGCAGCTAAATCCACCCCTGGCACTGACGCTCGCGGACAGGCAACGATTAAAACGCTACGCTGATATGATAAATGCGCGATTGAAAACGTGTACAGCACAAAGGGACCTCCCACAAGCTGGGAGAAGTTAAAAAGAGTGAAAGAACAAAGGAACAAATCACGGGCCACAGCACGGTGGTGGTAATGTATAGAGACGTACTATGTAATGTAAATAGTAATAATCCACGATAAGCTAACGGCTTTGTTGTGAGCCGTTGAAATCTCAGATGTGGCATCGACGGTGGAGGGGCTATTTTTGGGGTGGGACGGGCTGACGTGCGGAAGACGGGCCGTCGTTGACGGACGTCACATAGACTTACGGCCGAGGGGAAAAACATTTTGGAGGTCTCGGCTATGGCGGAGGACGCTGCCGAGAGGCGCATGGAGCGGCCGCTATTCGGTGTCTCGCCCCCGACGCCTACTGCGAGGTGAGCAATCGAAATCTTTCCTCCAATGTGTATCGCGGTGGCGCCGCGGCAGCGCCGTCGCTCGCCGTGATTCTGGCGCTGGCAGCTGTGCTGTGCGAGTAGCTTGCGAGGGGATGTGATCTTCGGGGTTGTAGGGGTTTAGCGGCATCGCATTGGATGGCCATTGCTCTAATTTCTCTCCTCCTTGCAGCTCCGCGGGTCCAACCCTTGCCGTCCAGGGAAATTATGCGAGCATAGATTGGCATGGCCTAGCCCAGAAGAGGCCAGCGATTTCAGGTACCAGTGCTGGGCCGCCTCGCCCTGCTGTTAGCACAAGCACCGCAGCCGTGTCTGGATCGAGCTCTCACAGGCACCTCTGTAGGCCATGGGACTGTGGGGATTTACTGAGGCGTCTATCCACGTTTAGAACCAGCAACTGGAATGCCCAGGTAAGGAGTTTAGTTTTTTTTTCTGTGCTTTCTCTTTGCTTTTCCTGTTCTTAGAATCCTTGACAGCTTGAGCATAGATAGATTTACTTGGCAAAGTTCTTACTGCTCGAGGAAAAGCTAATACCCTCTGGTTTTGGGATTCCCTAGGTGATCGGTCCGGCCGTTTGCGCAAGGAAAGGCTGGGTCAATGTCGACGTTGATATGATCGCGTGTGAGGGGTGTGACACGCATCTCAGCTTCGCATTACCATTGCAGACTGAAGGTACTAGCAATCAATTGTCAAACATGCTTGAATCGGCGCTTCGTACGTTGTAGTTGAAGCTGCCTCAGAATCGTTTCGGAAGCAGCTGGAAACCAGCCATCAGAGGTCTTGTCCATGGAAGGGGAATGCGTGCTCCGAGTCCCTGGCACAATTCCCAAGCTCTGCTATGGCTTTGATTGGTGGTTACAATGATCGGTGTGACGCGCTGCTTCAACTTCCTAGTCTTCCGGTTGTCTCAACTTTTGCAGTTGATCAGATGAGGCTGTCCAGAGGTCCTCAGATTGAGCGCCTGCTTTCACTGCCTGCAATGCATTTCCCGGAAAGAAATGGAGCGGGACCATTGACAGATGACTTTGTCAAGGTACAGTGGATAGTTTTTCTACAGTGTCCGGATTGTCACTAACAAATCATGGGCTTTCCATCTGCAGGCACAGAGGATCATAAGCTTTTGTGGCTGGGAAGCTCGGTTGCTCCCACACGCTGGAGATCTTGAAGACTACTCAGCCCACTCTTCACGAAAGCCTAACAAGGCTTCTGCGTCCCTCAAGCGGGCGAAGCGGACCATGCCAAGATCTGATAAAGAAGGTGACAGCAGGGGAGCCAGACAGACCGCTTCGACGCTCTTGGAATGTGTCTACTGCGGAGCCAGCGTTCCTATTTTACGCTTTCAGACAGTTGCTCGTCCGGGTGGCGGAAGTACAGGTTCCGAGTATCCATCGTCGGACAACAAAAGTCTTCCCCTAGTTCGAGGAGCCAGCGCAGCGAGTAGCATCGACATTCACAAGAGAAGGCAGCGGTTGGAAGGTGGTGAAGCTGGCGAAGCGACAGAGCAGAAGCCACCATCGCTGACTATCACAGCAGCAAGGGCCTCGCCAACCAACTTGAATGTCACTCCTGTAGCACGACCAGAACAGCAGCCGGAGGGAAGTGAGATGGGAGATTGCGGTGTAGCATCTTACGAGTCGAGAGGGCCACGGGATGATCACCAGGGAACAGCAGCTCAGGGTGACAGTTCCACGTACGTGCCACAGCTCAGGGCTGAGAGCGCTGGGGGTACGAATGGAGATTTTGACAATGAAGACGAGGGAAAGAACGCTGCCGAATCCTCAAAACGCAAGCGCGTGCCAGAGAGCCTAGCAGCTGATCAGCACTCTCTTGGAATGGCTGTCAGTGGCAACGCTGCTACGTGCGAGCAGGAAGGCGAGACTGAAGACCGGAAGAACAAGAAGGTCTGCATTGGGCCGGCAACCGCCATTGAACGGACTGTTAGCCTTGAAGTCCCTGACAACACTTACAACAGGAGTGCGAGAAGCTTGCCAGTACGTCAGGAGAACCTGCGAAGAAGAGTCACCAGAGAGTATCCATGCTCGTCGTCCGTGAATGCCATAGATACCTGCTTCCAGAACAAGATGGAAGACTCTATGGACAGCGTGGAGTTCGCTCCCCAGGATGATGCCCAGCAGCACACTGCTGCAAGTGGATATACAGAGAACGAGTGGCTGTTTGACGAGCCCAACAGTACTGTTCAAGGACAACAGAGCAACTCTTATGCGCCGGCGGCTATCCAAGAACAGGCGACCGGGGAAACTAATGCTGCTGTTATCAGCACTGGCACTGCTACTGGATGCGGTGGAAGCGTCGGTATGGCAGGCATTCGACTCGGCAGTCAGAGGGTTCAGAGCAACGAGGCTGATATTCAAGGAGCGGAGTTATCTGAACTTCAGACCGAGAGTGTCGCGGGAGAACCAGCTGACGCCGTGGTAGACGCAGTAGTGGATCAAGGTGACCCTGGCCTCGTTTGCGACTCAACGCCTCTAACAGCAGCCCAGGACTGTGCCGGTGGTGGGGACGAGTCCGGGGAAAGTGGCTCCAAAGCGAGCCTAAGGCCACGCAATGGGTTTTCAGAAGAGCGAACCATAGACACGACAAATGCCGTGGTGACTGGGTGCTCCATAGGAACGATAGCGAAAGAGATGACGGAGGGGTCCGTGGAGGTGGCAGCAGTCGGTGATAACGTTCGAGCCGTCAATGTTAACAGTGCTCCAACAGGTACTTCCCATTTCCTTTGATTGACTGACTTGTTTCTGAATGGAAACTCTGGAACAGTGAAAGAAGCCGAAGACACGCTTTTCGATCCGATTCGTTGCCATCGGAGCTTCTGTCCTTGGGTGAACGGCCTCGTTTTATCGGCTGCGAATGGCACGTTTGGCCCGGGGCCTGTTTACTGCGGGTGGCAGCTAACTGTGGATGCCTTGGATGCTTTTCACCAGCAGGAGAACGCCTCTGCCGGAGTGACCGAGTCGGAATCTACAGCCTCGATGTGCAAGGTAAAGAAGAATGAAAAGTTGCTGCTCGTGAGATTACTTACTCTGGATGGTTTTGTTTCAGGATGATGGCCGTGGACGAATTTTTGCTCAGGGAAGCTCATCGCAGCCTTGCAACGGGAGTAGCAGGCTGGAGCCCAATTGATGGCTTGAAGTTATGAATCACACTAAGTGGTAACTCTCTTACCAGTAAAGTTCCATTGGATCATTATCTACTTTTTAGAAGAGCATTGGTGCTGATTGTTCATACATGTAGTTGATTTGTTTTTAACACACTTGATTGAGGAGAGCAACTACTGCATCACAAACAAACATTCTTTCTTTTACTAGCACAGAGACAGACTAGAGTTTGGCAGTAGCAGTTTCCAAGCGAGCATTGACAGTGTCCCAGTTGACAAGCTCTCTCAGGAACGTCTCCACGTAATCTGGGCGGCGGTTCTGTAATCAAATCATGGTCAGCTTCTTACTTTGATCGGTTGTTGCTAAAGCTAACCTGGAAATCCAGATAGTACGCGTGCTGGAGAAAAAAGAAGATGATAAGAAACGAAGAAACGAAGAGAAAGCTTACCTCCCAGACGTCGAGGACGAGCAGTGGCTGCAAGTCACGGCCATTAGATCTGGACAAGATCGAGAGAGGGAGGGAAAGATAGCAAACTTACAGTCTCTCCGGACACGAGTGGATTCACCGCGTTGGCTGTTTTCTGGACGATCAGCTTCCCGTCCTTGACTGCAAGCAAGAGGGACGAAACTGTTTGCGTGGAGGAGAAAGAAGATCGAGCTTACGGGAGAGCCAGGCCCATCCGGATCCAAACTGTGTAGTGGCGGCGGCTTTAAACTCCTTGACGAAGTTGTCGTAGGAGCCGAGGTCCCGGTTGATCAAGCCGGAGATATCGCCACTGGGAGCCTTGCCCCCTTTGGCTGTCATGGAGTGGAAGAAGAAGTCGTGGTTCCATGCCTGCCAAAGAGAGAATTGTGAGAGATCTCAATGGAGAAAGAACAAAGCCATAGACCTGCGCGGCATTGTTGAAAGCTGGCTGGGCGTTTCCACCGCCATAAGTTTTGGTGATGATGTCTTCCAGCTTGAGGCTCTCGAGCTCCGTCCCAGAGATTTGCTTGTTGAGGTTGTCAATGTATGCGCGCTGGTGCTTCCCCCAGTGGAACTCCAGCGTCGTCTTGCTCATGAATGGCTCCAGCGCATTCTAGAACACACAGTCGAGAAAAGAAAGGAGGAAATCCAATCGATCGCAATCGCGCAGCGCGTTACCATCTCGTAGGGGAGCGGCGGGAGCTCGAATTTGGCAACCACGGCAGACATTCTTCCCGACGATCTCGCCCTCCTGCTCCTCACTGCGATCGCTCTCCCTGTGATCGATCCTAGCGATGGCGATGGCGGCGAGCGCGTGTATGGCACAAGCCCTAGGCCTATCGCTGCCTGCGCCATATCTTCCACGAGCAATGTACTACCTATGTACTAGCAAGAAATTTTCTATATACACACACAGCGTACTTCAAAAATGGTAGTACTACTTCTATCCAACGGCTGCAAATAGACGGCAGCGATGTGCCCTAAATTTAAGCCCTTTCTTTAAAACTGGATAGCATATTCGCATCTCGTGCCTTTTACTAGGGTTCTTGGTGTGGGCAAAAGGGTAAATTGCTAGTTAGGGTTCCGCGATGCCGGGAGGGAACGTCGATGCGACTCTGTATGTGAGTAAGTGAAGCGCTGGGCATTGGAAGATGGTCTCTAAGATTTGCTTTTGTAGGTAATCTGGATGATCGAGTGGACGAGCGAGTGCTGTATGATATAATGGTGCAAGCGGGACCTCTGGTAGAAGTTTACATTCCCAGAGATAAAGAGACTAAACGCCACAGAGGGTATGGATTTGCAGAGTATGAGAGTGAGGAGAGCGCAAGCTACGCGCTCAGGCTTTTCTCTGGGCTCGTCACACTGCACAACCGGCCTGTGAATTTCGCGGTATGGGAAAAGAGGATATTTTTTTGGTTCCTCGATTGACGAATTACTTGCAGTTCTCTGGGGGTGCGAAGAAAGTACCGCAGCAGCAGCAGCAGCAGCAACAATCAAGCTTGTTCGATCCAACACTGGATCAAACACCTCCCAGCAGCAAGTTTGAGAGATTTCTATCGGCTTCTTCGTCGTCGGACAGAGGTTTGTTTGGTGAAATGGTCTTGAGTGTGTCTAATCGTTTTGGTTTCTAGAGTCGTATTATTCAGGCCAGCACCGCTCCTCGCGTTATAGTTCCCGAGTTGCGATGCTTGTCCAAAGAACTAACCACGGGCGCTAGTAACTATAATGAATGTTATGTTAGTACCATTGACTTCCAACACTTAGTCTGCATATCAACCACAACGTAAATACTTCTCACCTCAAAATTACATTGTAAAGGACAATCTTCTTACTCTTGGAAATATTGCCAGTGGAAATACTAAGTCATGAACTTTACAACTTCTGTCGGAGAGAGCAATTGACAAAGTCGTGAATAGTTCCAGAAAGCTTTTGGTCAAACAGCGCGTACTTCTTTCTCGAGACTCGTCCACTCTTGATGGCCAAGTTTCAATCCAAGCTTCACGACGAAGGTGAAGAAGCTCATACAAGCAATCAAAAGGGACATCTTTCCATTTCCAGATCCGAAAGTTATCATGGAATCTTCTTCCTCGTTTATCGTTCTCAATTCCAGCGACGAGCCGGGCTTGTTTGTGTTCAACACCAACAAGGAGGAGTGGAGCGAATGGCCAATGTGCCACACTCACAACCAGTCGGAGCTCTCTTGCCCCTGTTCTCGCTTGCTCTGCTTCACCAATGGCTCAGGCATCCATGTCCATCACACACAAACAAACCAGCGGGAGGAGCTAGCAAACATTACCGGTTGTATCAGGGAGGGCTACTTCAATATCTGGCACTGCTCCTTGTCCCCGGATAATCAGAGCTTGGAGCAAGTGGTATACAACGAAGCAAAGCGCGAGGTGATTCTTTACGACTCGGGCGATGGAGCTCTAGAGGCTCACAAGAGCAAACTCGATAGCAAGGAGTTGGAGCTCTTGAGCGATGTCTGTCTTGATCGGAACAACAACAAAGCCTACCTTCTCTACTGTTGTGGCGAGTTGGCCACTTACGATCTAGAAAGCCACGAGTTGTCCTTCTACAAGTTGGAGATCCTGGAAAGTTATGTCTCCGATGCTTCTCTCGACTTAAACACATCAGTGGTGGCGTGCAAGAACAACGCATTCATGGTGGGCTATCTGCTAGTGGAATGTGATGAATACGATCACGTTGGTATATGGAAGCTTGACATGGAGGGCAAGAGATGGGAGCTTGTTTCTAAAGTTCCACACTCCGATGGGTACGTAGAAGATGAGGAGGGCAACGGGAGTTATGACGAGGATGTGATAGCGTACCGGATTACTCGTTGCTGCAGCAATGGAGTTGACAAGATCTGGATTGCCATTGACAAGTGTGAGTTCATGTGGATGTATAGTGTGGATGCCGACACATGGAGAAAGCTTCCAAGCTATTCACAGGCTAAAAAGGCTTGACGCCACAGAGGGTTGCAGAGTATGAGAGTGAGGAGAGCGCAAAGCTTGTGGTATGCCACGTGGCACTTAGGGGGTTTCATTTCTCGATTGTGGTAGCGGAGCAACCACAGCAATGCTGCAAAGATGAGGTAGAGAGCCCAAGGAGAATCTCCAATAGGATCAGGATTAGGAGATTGTCTGTGATCTAGACAAGGGGTTAAATATGTATTTAAGATATGCTAAAAGAGTATTATCATTTTGTATTGATATACTTAAGGTCATTATAAATATGGGTCAAAACTCATTTACTAACTCTTACAGAGAATCAAGGTGCTAAATAATTGTTGCAAGAGAATGGAAAAGAAATTACTCCTTTGACTTATGAATCTTTTATTAAAAAAATTGCAATGCTTCCCATCGAAGTACTTCACTCCAGATGCACTGATCGCCACCAAGGAATCCTCGGTGTTGAGGACTCCGAGGAAGAAAGGTTCCTGAGCTGGCTCAATGAGCAGCCTGTGGAGTCCGTGCTCTACGTCTCGTTTGGAAGCTTTTCACTCTTGACTCCGCGGCAAATTTCCGAGCTTGCTCTCGGGCTGGAGGCCAGTCAGCAGCGTTTCCTCTGGGTGGTGCCCGTAAAGAACAAGTCGATGGAGGAGCTCGAGGCTCTACTTCCAGAGGGATTTCTAAAACGCACCGAGGAGCGAGGCCTTGTGCTGCCTGGCTGGGCACCGCAGCATCTTATACTCGCCCACTCGTCGCTGGGAGGATTTATCATGCACTGCGGCTGGAACTCGACACTGGAAGCTATAACTCTAGCTGGAGTGCCGGTGATCGGGTGGCCTTTCCTTGGAGACCAGGCCCCAAACTGCCGATATCTGGTCGATGGCCTCTGCATTGGAGTGGAAGTTATCGGCAATGATAATGGATTAGTGGAGAGCGACGAGGTGGAACGAGCTGTGAGGGAGATTATGGACAGTCCTTGGGTGGAAGGGATGAAAAGCCGAGTGAAGGATCTCAAAGCCGCGGCAAGTAGAGCTGTGGCTCAAGGTGGAAGCTCTCAAAAAAACTTTGATGTATTTGTTGCAAGAATTAAGTCACTGGGGGTTTGAAAATACTAGAGGATTTTTTAAGGAAGAATCTACTTTATTTTGTAACCAATATAATAAATGTTTTGCATACTATTTGATAGATATTATGTTTCTATGTTCTTTTCCAATATCAATGGATTTTTTGTATAAAGATACTTTTGGTATCTCAAAAGAGATAAGAAGTGTACATGCTTCAAATTGTAGTGCATGCATGTAATAGGACATTTCATATATTGTTAACCCCTGATCTAGAGATTATCAGGTCTTAGAGTTTAAGAGATGCTTCCTTCTGTTTTAATACCTTGTGTTTCTTGGCATTAGATGTGGAAGGTAATCCAGTTTATTAATGATTGGTTTCAAATGCTTTTGCGGGCAATATTAGAAATGACTTTGATTCACTATTAATTTGCTCTCTATGGAATTTGAAGTTCTTATTATGAGTATAGTTCCTTTTTAAGTTTGTTTCAAATTTGTGTCATTGAAATGTTTCTTTCCAAATTTACTAGAAAATGTAGAGAAAGAGGAGGAAGATGGCCTTCTATCCAATTTTAGTGACTCGGATTGTGTTTTATATGTGGATAGCAACAATGATGTTCTCCTAGTGGTTTGATTAGTTTCCAACTTCCTAGATTCAATTCATTTGCATGTTTCTAAGTCTTTCATCAGTTTTTTGCGATTGAGGGGATTTGGTAGTCAAGCCACATTTGGCACTTGGATGCACCTAAAGATCCTCGAGACTAAGACTACAACTTACCTCACATGCTACCTTAGAATTTCCAAATCAACACTGTACAAATATGTATGGCTTGTCAATCAAAATTGGAGAGGTGTATACTACAAGGTACCACATAAAAAAGTATTTCATCACATCCGAACTAACAATGCCATGAATCAAGGTGGCACAAATTGGGGGATTATCAATTCTTGATTTAATTGTTGAATTGAAAGATAATAGTTTAGCTGACACCAAATTCATGACACCTTAGCCACTCACAACCTAACTAGGCTACAACAAAGGCACTTAACAAGGATTTGACAATGGATTTACAAGAATTAAGAGGGTTATGTAAGGAATCAACTCTCCAAGATGTCGTAGGCTAAAGGATCCCCGAAAGCATGACCAAAATGACAAAGAGTTCATCGGATGGGACCAAGTCGAAGATCGAGTCCAAGACCAACTCTAAAACTGAGTTCGAGATAGAGTTCGAGATCGAGCCCAAGGCCGAATTGGAGACCGAGTTCGAGACCGAGTTCGAGACCGAGTTCAAGATCCAAATTGGGTCCGAGGTCGAGTCTGAAGTCGGGTCCGAGATTGGGTCCGAGATCGAGTCCGAGATCGAGTCCGAGACCGAGTCCGAGACCGAGTCCGAAGTCGGTTCCGAGATCAAGTCCAAGATCGAGTCCGAGACCGAGTCCGAGTACTAATACGGGTCAAGGGGTGAAAGCCCAAAGCATGCGTCTCCTAGGGGGGGGTGCAAGGGGTTCCAAAAGTATAGTAGGGATAGTGAGGTCCAGGAACCAATTTTGAAAGAACTCTCCAATGGTGCTTCCAAACTGGCTTGAGGTTGAGATTGGGGCTGAGGGGCCTTGGGTGGGAGTGAGCAAGGACTTGGGTGCTGTCAGAGGGGCCACCCTAGGAAGTGCTCAAGAGCAGCTCCCACTCCCGAAAGGGAAACCAACTGCGGTGCTCCCGGCTCATGTGGAGTGGTGCCCCACTTGAGTACCATGCAGCTCATTGGTCCTCGCCCTTCCTAGGGGCTTGGGCCTTCCTTCGGGATGGAAGTGGGGGGGTAGAGGTACCCATACCGAGCCGTTAGGCCACGGTGTTTCGCCCCGGCATCCCGAAGTAAGTGTTGCACCCAAGACTTGGGATTTAGAGGGTCCCATGATCAAGTCTTGTGGTACCAAGGGGTGTTAGGAACCTGGAGGCTTGGTGTGCTTGGCTGCTTGTGCCTATGGGGAGTGTAGCCGAACCTTAAGTCCAGTCTAACCTGGGGAGGGGGATTGGGAGAGATTTGGGAATCCGTGGATGGGTGGCTAACGCTCCGTTGCTCGTGCAGTGAGTAGCTGAAACCAAGTAGGACTATGTAGGAGCTGGTACCATAGGAGGGAACCTTGGCGAGGGAACTTAGCAAAAACCAAGGCAGTGTTGGACGGATAGACGAGGTAAGTTGGCAAATTGGAAAAAGAAAAATTTATGGCTTACAATTTGGTATCAGAGCCTTTTCCTCGGTTCTAACGAAGGATAAAAGCGGATTGCTGGGAGATGGTAAAGGCGGGGCATAAACGAACCAAGGCGGAGACAGAACCTCTGCCAGAGTTGGAGCCTCCGGTTGAACAAGAGGCTATGGATGAGGAATCCTTGCATGAGGAGGACTCTAGTGAGGAAACTTCCAAACAGGAGTCCGGTGGTGAGGTTCGGTCGTCTAAGGCTCGATTGAACGTTTTAGAAGGACAATTGGCACAGACCAATGCCTTGCTGGAGACTCTTGTGCGCAAGCTAAAGCGTGACGAGAAGCGGAAGAAAAGGCAAAAGACTGCGGATGCTGGCAGCGCAGAAGGTGCGGACCCTTCGGCAGGGACTGAGGCAAAACCAAACAAGGTCGAACAAACCAAAGTGGAATCAGTCCCACAAGCAGTGCCCAAGTACAAACCAAAGCCCCCACCAGTCTTCAAGGGAGTGAATGACTATAAGGTGGTGGAGGATTGGTTTTACGATATGGAGGATTACTTCTAAGCGTTATGGTTACCGAGCTCAGAGAAGGTCCTATGTGCAAAACCATACTTGGCAGATAATGCCAAGTCTTGGTGGAGAACGACGGAGGCCAACGAAGGACCGGTGGCCACTTGGGACATGATGAAGGCGAGGATTTGTGCGACTTACATTCCTCTGAATGCTACTCTGCATCTAAGAGATGAGTTGAGTAGGCTAAAGTAGACCGGAACCATTCAGGAGTATGTGAATGGGTTCATGGCAAAGAGGATACTTGTCACGGATATGGGGGATATGGATGTGTTCTATGCCTTCATATCGGGCTTGCAAACCTGGGTTTGCGGCGAGGTGATACAGTGGAACCCGACTAATTACAAAGAAGTGTTGGATGCGGCTATCAAAGTGCATTTCAACGATAACTTGCGAAAGGGGAACACGACGGGGTCGGGGTCCACGTTTAGCAAAGGGGCCAAACCAAGGGGAACATATAGCAAAGGAAAATTCAAGAAGAGTTTCTCTAAGAATGAGTCCTCAGGGTTCCGGAAAAGCAAATTCGGTGGCCAGCGAGCAAGTACGTGGGGGAGTCAAGCAAAAAGAGACAAACCCACAGATAAGAAGGTTAAGTCGTTTAGCAGCATAGGAAACAACGTATGCTACAACTGCGGTGAAGCGGGACACTTTTCGAGGGAGTGTCCCTACCCGAAGAAGGCTAGAGCCAATATGGCCATTAAGTTGGGTGAAGTCCAAACTGAGGTATGTGATGCAGCCCCTAGCTCAAAGTTACTCATTACACGAGCAACTTTGGCAGAGAGTCGTTCGCGACATCTACTAGCCCTCCGAGGGAAGCTCGGAGGTAGCTTTGTTAAGATCCTTATTGACACAGGTGCTTCGGATAATTTTGTGGCTGCAGACATAGTCTGGCAAGCCAGACTAACGGTGCAGCAGCTGGGCGAACCAAGGACTATAGAGTTTGTTCAAGGTAGCCAAAGCACCAATGAGGTACTTTGACAAGCGAGAGTCGAAGTAGGGACTTGGGAAGTAGACATGGACTTCACCGTGTTGGACATGGCGGGATTTGACATGATCTTCGGGATGGATTGGTTCAATCGGTTCGTGGTAGCCCTGCATGGACAAAGTAGAAACCTTGTGGTACTAGCGAATGCCCAAGGAAGAAGATCCAGGGTGGAGGCCCAGGATCTAAAGGTAGGGCAATACAAGGCTAAAGATTCGTGCTTAAACCTGGTGTCCACGAGAGGACAACTCACTAAAGGGACCAAGGCTGCATTTTTGTGCTTACTCTCGGTGAGGAGTGACAAAAATATAGGAATGGAAGAAGTACCTTTAATGATCCAGCGGGTGTTGGACCAATTCCGAGATACCATGCTGGAGGACCTATCAGCGAGGTTGCCCCCCACACAACCGATAGAACATAAGATTGAGCTAGTCGAGGGTGCTGAGGCGGTGGTTCGTCCCCCCTATCGTTTGAACGAAAAAGAACTCGCGAAGCTCAAGTGCCAACTAGAGGAGTTGGTGGACAAAGGGTATGTTAGGTTGAGCAAGTCGCTGTATGGGGCGCCAGTGTTATTTGTGAAACAGAAAGATGGATCTATGTGCATGTGCATAGACTACCGGTTGCTCAACAAATATACAAAGAAGAATAAGTACCCTTTGCCAAGGATTGAAGATCTGTTCGATAGGTTGGGAAAGGCAAAATACTTCTCGAGGATTGACCTAAGGTCAGGATACTACCAAATTAGGGTAGCAGAGGAAGATATCGAGAAGACAACTTGTCGAACGAGGTATAGGAGCTTCGAGTTTCTAGTGATGCCCTTCGGGCTATGCAATGTGCCAGCAACGTTTTCGGCGTTGATGAACCATATCTTTGTACCCTATCTGGATCACTTTGTGGTTGTCTATATTGACGACATCTTGATCTATAGCGAAACGCTAGAGGAGCATGCCAAACACTTGACGAAGGTGTTTGAGAAACTAAGGGAACACCAGCTGTATGCTAAAGAGAGCAAATGTGACTTTGCTCAATAACTCTCAAAGGTGTCGTAAGCTAAAGGATCCCTGAAAGAATGACCAAAATGACAAAGAGTTCATCGGATGGGACCGAGTCAAAGATCGAGTCCAAGACCGACTCTGAGACCGAGTTCGAGATAGAGTCCGGGATCGAGCCCGAGGCCGAATCGGAGACTGAGTTCGAGACCTAGTTTGAGACAGAGTCCGAGATCCAAATCAGGTCCGAGACCGAGTCCGAAGTCGAGTCCGAGATCGGGTCCGAGATCGAGTCCGAGATCAAGTC